GTCTTTTGTTCATTCTCAATTTCATCCTTATTACTGTTAGATTGGAAGTAAAAATACAGTTGGAAAAATTCATTGCCTTTGCAATCATCTGTCAGCATTTGGTGGAGATTTCTTTGTCGCGCCAAATCCAATCGATTTTGATGTGGTTTTTGACGAGTTCACTCGCCTTGGGGAGACTGGAAACTTTGTGGTTTTATCTTTCGTTTGCCTAGTATTTGGTGTTTACGCTGCTGGACTCGTATTTGCAAGGAGAGCCGACAAGAAAGACCATTTTGAGGTATTTTTTAGCAAGTGTATTTTGTTCTGCGGAATTAGCAGCTTGGAAAACTACTGAGTTATCTAATATTAATTTCAAAGTATTCCTATATTTTTATCCATTTATTTTAGTCATTATGAAGAGTGCAGTGTGTCCCACGTTAGCCCTGTTTTTATTGATTATATTTAATAATCTTTTTTTGTAAAGGTGATTCCAAATGTTCAGCTCCCGACAGTAGAACATGGTGACTACAAACACTCTTACAACATCTCAATTCAAACTGGTATCTGGAGGGGCAGTGGAACCACAGCAAATGTTGCAATAGTACTGTTTGGCGAGAATGGCTGCACCCCTCCAATTCTCTTATCACATAACTATCTGGAAAAAAAGTTCTTTGCTCGAGGAAGCGTTAACAGTTTCACTCTCCATCTTACTGAATCTCTGGGCCCGTTGTTTAAAATTAAAATTTGGCACGACAATTCAGGAAATAGCCCTGCGTGGTTTTTTCATCAAGTACTGGTTACCTGCAATGCTACTAATGAAAAGTGGTATTTCCTAGGTAACCAATGGCTTGCTTTAAATAAAGGTGATGGTGAAATTGAAGTGGAGATTGCTTCCGCGGGAAAGAGAGAATCGTTGGCTTTTAGAAACCTTTTTTATTTTCGGAGTGCCAAAACTCTTAGCGAGAAGCACTTGTGGTTATCACTCTTTACGAAAGCACCTCATAACACTTTTACGCGGTGCCAACGCCTTTCTTGTTGCTTTTCAATATTGTTTGCTACAATGGTGACTAATGCGATGTTTTACAAGCAGGGTGTTGGGATAGGAGACTCTTTTAAGATCGGTCCTTTTAAGTTATCTTGGACTCAGATTAAAATTGGACTTCAGAGTGGGCTGGTTTCAGTTCCCGTCAACGTTCTTGTTGTTGCGATATTTAGGAACATAAAGGCAGCGGCTTCAAATATCAGCAACGGGAGCAGTAAACAAAATGATCTAAATGAAAAATCAAGCGGATTTTTTCCTCATTATTTTGTTTATATTGGATGGGCTCTTTGCCTGACAATGTCTATTGTATCAGCAGCTTTCGTTGTTTTCTACAGCCTGATGTGGGGTAAGGAAGTAGCTAATCAGTGGCTAGCTTCAGTGATGATCTCCTTCTTTCAAGACGTCATTGTGATTCAGCCAATAAAAGTTGTAGTTTTAGTATCACTTCTGTCACTCATCTTAAGAAAGCCAGTAGAAAATGACGAAATCTATGGACAATGTCTCTCAAGCCACAGAGTAGACAAGGAATCCATTTTGCATCCACCGAGGGGTGAAGAGTTGCATAGGGTACGCTCATTGAGTGTTCTGAAAAGCAGACTTACGAAGGTGGTGATAGAGATCACCATATTTATTGTGTTCCTGTCTCTCTTGATGATGGTGTGTTACGGCAATCGTGACAGCACCAGATATCAGCTTACGAAGTCAATAAGGCTTGTCTTCACAGGATTTGAGAAGGTTTGTTTACATTTATATAGAATGATATAACTGTAACATATATATTTCCCTTTGGAGTAGCCTTGGTGATCATATTGACAACTGACAACAAGCCCCTTTTAGATTTCAACTAATATACCTTCTTTTCTCTTATACCAATCTTTTATATTGTTTCATAGTGGTTTATATAGTGACGCTAGGAGATGCTTAAATCTACAATGCATTGTTATATTTGTAATGACTAAGCCTACGATGATCCGATTGCCAAATATGGTCATCAGCTGCGAAAGATTATCTGACAACTTTAACAAAAATAATCAAGCTAAGTAGGTAATGTAACTGGGTCATCGGCGAACGAGCGTCAGACTCAGGAAACATTTTTTTACGGTACGTGATCCGTTACCCAACAAGGGATCACTGGTCACAGTAGTAAGAATGGCGATAATAATGATGGTGGTAATGATATTAAACGCCGAGGAGGAAGTAAAGTAATTCACAGTCGTGAATTAAACAAATATGATTTTCTGTATCTGAAACAATTTAAAGAAAAAATCCGGCATGCTAAATAAAGTTATACAGTAAAGCAAAAAAGAAGCCCTCGGATATTGAGCAAAACTAAAGGGCAAGGTGTAAGTTATTAGTTTTCTTTCTTTGCAGGTAAATAGCACAGAGTCCTTCTGGAAGTGGGCTAAGGAACAACTCGTAGAAGACCTTTTTAATGTCAGGTGGTATAATGGCAGGCCTTTCATCTACAAAGAAGGGTTTATCGGAAACAGAGAAGCTTTCATGGTGGGGATGCCAAGACTTCGACAAAAGAGAATCAAAATTGGTGAGGGCAAAGCGATGATTTTAGACCTGTGCTATGTTTAAGTTTCCGTGGAAACTCTATTTCTCAACAAGTTTGAAAAAAGGGTGACACCAAGTGTCTTCTAGTTCAAAAAATTGTGTAAAATAGACAGAAAATAAATAATAGGTGTACTGTACTTCCCATTTCAATTTCAAAGCTTTAGTAGCTCATATCAACCCATAAACTACATCCCAATTGTCAATAAATATCTCCTATGTATCACAGGTGGCCCAAGCGTAATGTGAGAGTTTGTATGGGAAATGAAACTTAGATGAAATAAATGAACTAAAAGCGGTAAAAGTTATCAATAAAGTGTAAATATCGTTACCTGGTGTTGTTGTCCATGTTTCAGCGTGAATTGAGTACTTTTACATCAATTGACCTGACAGTAATAATAAGGGACAAGGTAGGACAGAATCGCTCGATCGATCTTCAGAGCTGCTCAAATGCTGTTCAAATTTCACGCGAAAAAAACAAACACACTTACATTTTGCACCGCTGAATCTACAATGTGATGCCTTAAGATCACCTTTCTGCAATCCGTTCTGGCAAACTTTGCGTCTGGATCGCATAACTCGATCGAAAAGATCAACTACAGTTCAACAATCGGCGTCATTTATCCATAACTGGTAAAAGTGTAACGTTTCAACCGTTTTGTCGCTCGGCGAGAGAGGGTTGAGACAAATTTCTACGCACCCACCTCCCAGCAAGGCTAAAAATTAAGAAATAATTTTTACATCAGCTGTTTGAGAACTCGGAGTTTTTAAAAATTTTTCTCCTTGCTGAGAGGTGGATGCGTAGAGATTTGTCTTAACGAAGAAATGTCACCCTCGCGGTGGGTTATTATTTGACGTTGGCGACCAGTCACCGCCGAGCGACAAAACGGTTGAAATGTTACACTTTCACTAGACATGGATAAATGGCACCGATTTTTGAACTATAATTTATCTTTTCGATCGAGTTAAGCCATTCAGACGCAAAATTTTCCAGTGCGGATTGCAGAAAGGTGATCTTAAGGCATCACGTTGTGGATTAGGCGTTGCAAAAAGTAGTAGTAGTCAATTTATTTCTCTCTATAGGTTATACGGTCAAGTTATAGAAACAGGTAATTCATTCATTATGAAATAACTTAAGAGAAAAAAAGGGCAAAAATAGTAAAACTAATACATTGCCCTCGTAGATGGAAAAATATAAAAGATTTCTAATGAAGTGGATACAACGAAGGAAAATAAATAAATAAATTACATTAATTAAAATGCTAATACAGAAAACCAAAAAATAAATAACAAACAATAATCAAGTAAAATATAACTGGTCTAAACACATGAATACACGAACACACACACACACGTGAGATTAATCTAGGTGTTAAGTATATAAGTAGATGAGGCAACTAAGTCAATCTTGCATTTATTTAATATCGTGATGAATAATGACTGAAGAGGGAATTCTTGAATAGTTTTTTAGTAGGCCTAGAGCGGATAGAAATAGAAGATCGTTCGTTCCAAACGTGTGCTCCGGAATTTTATAAAATCTCAGATTAAAGTCTCTAGAGTAGCGCTCCAAAGCCAAGAGCCGTTCATAAAGGGAATTAATCGTCGAGGTGTTACTTTCCATGTCCTGCTCAATCTTCTCCACCTTGCAATTGATGTCGTGAATTTCGCCATTTACTTTTTCACATTTTTCGGTAAGCGGATCTTGTTTTTTTTTTGAGATTCCCGATAGTATAACGTCGTTTGAAGAGACTCTGGCTTTAAGTGAGTTCAACTCGCTCAACTTCTCATCTTGTGCGCTCTTAATGGCATTTACACTTTTCTGGAGCGAACCAAGTGTTACCCGAACAAACGTCTCAAAAAGTCTTGTTCTTCGCCTTTCTTATTCTTTGCTTTCGTGCTCATACTTCTAAGTGACATTAACGACATGAATACATACAAAGAGAACAAAAATGTATAAAGCCTAGCCATTGGAAATTTCGTATTCCACGGAGTTAAAATGTAGCGGCCCTCTTGCTGCCGCGCTACCCAAAATGTAAGTGTGTTTGTTTTTCCGCGTGAAATTTGGAGCTGATTCTGAGCAGCTCTGTCGGTCGATCGAGCGATTCTGTCCGGCCTTGTCTCTTATTATTACACTGTCAGGTCAGATGATGTAAAAGTACTCAAATCGCGCTGAAACTAAGTAAAGACAAAGACAACGACACCAGGTGACAATATTTTCACTTTATTGATAACTTTCATCGCTTTTAGTTCATTTATTTCAAGTTTCAAACTCTTTATTGCCCGTACAATTTCTCATATTACGCTTGGGCCACCTGTGCTATATATTAGCCGATTTCTACCAAATTCGCAGTAAATGTGTCTCAAAGATAAAGGAACATTTACTGAAATGGACCAGTGTGAAGAGAAAATCGTCTTATTAAAAATAATTATTAGTAATGGTAACAGGACTGAGTGGAGTCCAATTCGGTCTGTAATCATACGAGTGATTGACAAAATCGGACGACCGCGTAGCGGGAGTCCGATTTGTTTAATCACGAGTATGATTACAGACCGAATTGGACGACACGAAGTTCTGTTACCAATTAATCATAACTTTAACAAAATTTGTGATATAATAGGCTATTTTTTAAATCAAAACACAAGAAACTCGAAATTTTGTTTTGCCAGCAGTGAAAAAAAAAGCCACTTAAGCGCAGGCGTGGTGGCGCGTGCTGTCCAATTACTTAGGCATGACGCGTACTGTCCTATTAAACTGTCCAATTAAGGCTGAAATCAGGGCAGTTGATAGCCAATCAGATTTGACAATTTTGTTATAGTTATGATTAATAGAAAAAAAATAGCGAGGGGGTGGCATCCAACCCTACCTCCCCCCACCGTAAGTCCGAGGGTCAAGTGAACTTAAAAACTATTTTTGTAGCTAAACTTTTTTGTTTGCGGTGAAATTTGCGGTGAATGGCTCCCTTGTCCCTTGCATGCAAAAAAAATAATCCTCCAAATCATTTTTTTTTTGTCAGATCCCAGTTGTCAAGTCAGGGTTGTTGAGCCTTCACTTGTGCAATTGTTTCCCAGATGCATCCAATACTACAGTGTAAAGAACGAAGATATGACCAAGTATCACAAGCCCAAATGGATTCCAATTTATAATGAAAGTCATTTTGAATCCCTTTTCCAACGGTCATTCCTCTGTCCAAGACCCTGGCGTTATGAAACTGCCGAGCAGTTGCGTACATTGTCATTTCAGGGCTTGTATTCAGTGTACTCTGGTGGCGGTTATGTAGCTGATCTTGGCTATAATCGAGAGGATGCTCAGCAGGTGATTGACAGCTTGGAAATCAATAATTGGATCGATGACATTACAGCTGCCGTATTTATTGAATTTACCGTGTTTGAGCCGGCAACCTCTTTATTCTGTGCTATTAAGATGCTGTTCGAACGATTTCCAAACGGAGGTACGAACACGTTTTCACAGTTTAAAACGTTGACAGTCTACTCTCCTCAAGATCCTAACTTTCGAGGAGCCTATGAGACATGTCAATTACTCTTCATGCTATTTATCCTAGTATGCGTAGGCATCGAAGTTGTTAAGATTTACCAGAGTGGTTTTAAGTATTTCAAAGATCCATGGAGCTGGTTGGAGTTAATTCTTCTAGGAAGCTCGGTTCTCTCATTAGCTGTGTTCTTCTTAAAAGAATATTACACGAGCAAATTTATCTTAAAGGTTAAAGAGAACCCTTTTCAAAGCTGGAGCACAGATGACATTGCTTTGTGGTCTGACACCGAAGTGTTTTTGCTGTCATTTGTTGTATTTTTAGTGACAATGAAGCTTTTAAGAATTATTCGATTTAATTCGCATATTATTCAAATGCGAATGACACTCAGTAGCGCCGCCAAGTTCTTCTGGTCTTTTACCGCTGTGTTCATGACGATAATTATTGCCTATGTCATGCTTACTACACTTACTTTTGGCAGAAGCGTTGAACAATACCACTCATTCTTGCGTTCATTCAGCTCCGTTCTGCTCATGCTCATTGGCGCCAAAGCGCCATTTCATAAACTGCGAACTATTAGTGTTTTTATTGGACCATTTTTCGTGTTTGCATACATGGTCACCATTGTTATGATATTCCTTAACATGTTTCTAGCGATACTTAATGACGCCTACACAGAGTCCCGCGAACAGGGACAAGAGGGACTCCAGGATTTAAAGATTTCAAAACTCTTGAAGAAGAAAGCCAAGAAAATAGTCATGGGAACTAAGGAGGTCGTAATTAAAGTTATTCAAGCAGTTCCAAAATTTGCGTGGCTTAAACAGTCAAAAACTTTTGTAGCGTTTGAAAACGAGGAATGGAATGGACCTGACCCAGTAGAAGAAGGCTCTGCATCTAACGATGGTGATAATATAACTTTAAGAGACATAATGGTATTGCTTAAAAGTATAAAGAATGACATCAGTGACTCTGTTCTGTCCCTTGATGATATTGTTCCTGTGGTAACTATTCATGATCCAGATGAAAAATGGACCTACCGACAATGCTATTCTGATGACGAAGATGGACAGTTTTACTCATGCTCATCTTTATTTAGGAGCGAATCAAACAGGCAACTCTGCTTGACGTCTGACAAAAGCGAGCTGTTTAGATATGATCATCTTATTATGGATGAGTGGAACAGAAGAAACAAATTAGTTGGTGAAACGTTCGTCTGACAAGTTATTCGTAGTAAAATCAAATCTTTATTAGCCCCTGGTCGCTTAAGAATGGCATTTGTTATTGTTCATTTTTTTTTTGTCAGTCACCATCAACTATGCTTTCATGAGTATGCAATGAATACGAACTGAAACGCCTTAATTTCCATTATGTGTCCCATAATGTTACTTGTGTGAGTGACGAAACAATCCTCTGATTTCATGCACATTTTTTTTCCAGAACTGGAGAAAACTAGCTTTATTAATACTCATATTTCATAGTTATGTTAATTATCTTCGACCGCATCCGCAGACTAAGCCGTTTTAGTAGGCAATGGCCACCAGTTATCTAAACAAAAAATAAAAGAAACAATAATAATGAAAAGAAAAATAATACACCTACTCTGACGTAAGGTGTTTTGTCTTAGCTTCTTAGGTTAGTTATAAATAAAGAGCTACTTGATGGATAGAAATATGAGGACTCAACTGAATTTGGAGAGCTTTATCTTGGGGTATTATGATCGTGACAAATCAGGTTCAGATTTGTTATAAGAGCAAATGTTTGGTTTGTAAGGAAATGAAAAGTTGGCTCGCCCAAGGTGCATTGTAGCTCGAGTTGGCGGTCAATCGTTCTACCCGGACACCTTTTCATCTTATTTATGGGGCCTTTGTGTTGAAAAGGCGCTGTGAGTTAGGCATGGGTAATACAGTCATAGTTATAGCTATGTTTTTTCTAAAGTGTAACAAAAGAATGCCCCCTTTACGATTACGCCATGTCCTGTTTACGATTACGCTTGCCTGTCTCATACCGTCGGCTCCGCGTGTTACCTTAGTGCACTAGCTTTTGATGCATGGAAAGTTTTTGCTCGGAAACTGGCATGATTGTTGTCTTCTACACAGGTTTCGAGAACAGCAGTGTTTCACCATAGGTTAGATCTCTTAGTAAAACTACCAGAACACGTCAGCGATCTCTTTCTATCATAAATTGCGCTTTTTGTTTTACAACACATGCTAGCTTGGAATATCAGAGAAAGGAAAACAAAATGCATTCTGGTTGTTGCCATAAGACAATACACCTGACAAAACTGTATTTGTTTTTCAGCGAGCACTTTTTTGCCAAAAGATTACAGAATTCATGGAATACTGAACGATACAGCTAAGTTCATGCCCAATAAATCTATTAGGTATCATCAATATCTGATCAAAAGAGGGTTTAACTGGTTACCTTTTATAAAGAAAATCTCGGTGTTTAAATTTTAGTAACCCCCCCCTTCCATCTCAATAATAAAAGAAAATCTTTTTCTCTTCCCCCGATGAGGAATTCGAGGAGACTTTCTAATTATGAATAATTGTGAATATCGTTATTGCTATTGGTTTTTGATATGACAGCAGTTTATGTTTTGACTGAGACCCTAAAAGATACCCACCGACGAAGTGCAGAATGGAACCTGGAGCCTTTCCCATTTATTAATACCTGTGAGCCATTATATCATATACTTTTAATTTAATAGGAACGCTCACTGGTCACTGCAGTACATGTGCCAGCAATTTATGCGCAATATGCGTGGTTTCTTTTCAAACTTTTTTGTTATTCCTAAATCACTTTCTGTCATTACGAATTTTCAGAAACCATACTGGGATATGCCAGTTGGTGGTTGTTAACCATAACGTTTTTGACCCACCCTCTTCCAAGAAAATTAAGTTTCTTACTTTTTACATGCATATGTCAAGGAATAGAATTTGCAGCCAAGTTTTAATCCCTTAAGTGGTCTAATTTAGTGCACTCCAAGAAAAACAGACAGAATATGCACCTTGACAGCTGGTGTGTTTCACACATTGACGGTGAATTCTGGGACAGAGAGGGTGTTTCCATTAAGAATAAGTTAAAGCTAAAGAATGATTGAAGGAGGTATGGAGTTTCTGTTATAAAAGCAAAAAAAAAAAAAGTAAAGGAAGATATTTTACCAATACTTTGCTGTTTTAATCAAACCAAGAAGCAACGTTATCAGTTGTTGTTGTTCAGAAGGTGTCACATGTGTAACATTAAAATACCAGCAGGTACTGATATGACGTCACTGGGTTTTTTTCTTTAAAGACAATTTGTCAAAGAAGTGAGAGTATCTCCTCCAAGAAAAGTGGACGAAAAGACGCTGATGTAAATCCTGGCTGCCCAAAGTGATTCCCAGGTAAGACTTCATTTGGCTGCGCATAATTTATTCTTTATAACCCACCCATTACAATCGTTCACTTGCCTTGATAAGAATTTTGATCACTGTTTAATTTTCCTATCCTTCTTTATTCACGTTCAAACGGGATTTTTGACTTTCTGTTTATTGCTTTCTTTAATTGGTATCTCTCTTCAAATTTAGTGAGAGCTTCTGCGGAGGACCTGAATAACTAATATTCCTCTTTAACAGACGCTTCGATTCAGGTTTCTTGCAATGCGACATGATGACCAAAATAGCACGGCAGGGGTATTCTGATTACAGATAACAATTCAAATATATAAGCTTTTTGTAAGCATTTATTTACTGGACTAGCGTTCCATTTCCAACATAAGAATACATCTTCAGGTTGGCAAAATGCTTTCAAAAGATGTTTAGCACATCTACTGATTCGCTGATATAATCCGACACACGCGCAGCTGTCTAGTTGAAGTAAATGACTTGCTAGTACAATTTATATTAATTACTTTAATTTTTCTCAGGAAATGAATTTCAGGTTTGCCTTGACCCTCGCACTTAAGATTAAAAATTAAAAAAAAAAGAAAAAAGAAAGGAATACCTATCTTAATGTATTTCTTTTTTTCGAAAGTGTTAGAGCTTACTGCATCATTTAAAAGACTGAGTTAGTTTAGTCAAAGATCATGGATTGATGTTAGTTTAATTTTGCCGAATCAAGACAGAAATCGACTGTATAGCGTGGCTTCCTTGGAATTTGAATGGAACGTGCTGAAAAAGAATACCCTTCAATTTACCGGAATTGTTGAATTATGAAACATGTTTTGTTTAATTACGTTTTTTTTTGCTGAAATGTGTTTTCGTTTTTCTTCTGGGTTTTCTGTTTCAGCCAAATCCGCAGTTTAACTTTAGAGGGCCAACGTTTTGCATCCAGGGAATACTTGAACAAAATGAAGTTCCTGTGGTTACCCAGTTTTGCGTTTTTTCGCAAGGTTTAATTACACATTCACTCGAAAAGACGTAGCCTAAAAGCCATTAAGACCACTCTGATCGTCCTTGTTGTACAAAACAAGGTTTGCTCGTAAAAAGCGTCATTTCGTTATGTAGCATCCTTTACTCTTAGCATCAGAGTAGCAGTAACTAACTAACGCAAACTTTGGTTTCCAAAGAGAGTGTACTTTATTGTTTTTCAACATTCTCTTGGCAGCGGCACCTTTTTGCATTTCATTATATAAGGCATTTACTTGTGAATAGAAAGGAGCGTAGGCTGCAGATTCCTCTTTGCAAGTTCTAAAACACTTAGAAATTTTATTAAGCCCTTTCTAATTTGGACTTAAAATTCCTTTTTTTCCTAGGGCTATTGAAAATGCGTTTTATTTTTTGCCTTATCGGAACTTTAATCCAGAGAATATTATTACATCTATCCTAACTGAAGGCTTAGTTACCAGTGCTGGCATTGACTGTTAAAAATGGGAACGGCAGTTTGCGAAGGAAATAAGCAGTGCCGAGGTATGTGTAAGCTATCATCGAAGGACTACCTGCTTGTTTTTATTATCTGTTTTATCATTATTTAACTTGGTGGAAATAAATTTTGAATAGGTATTTGAATTTTAAATTTTTTTTCTGGCAAAATTCATAACACCCAAACTGTTCGTGTATGAATATAAATTGACTAATTAATGCCTGCCGGTGGTGTTTTGAAGCCATTTATTAATATTGTGTGCTATCATTCGTGTAAACTCTAGATTATTTTAATGAAAGAATCCTTTTGTAATAACGACATAGGACTTTGGTGGGGTATCGTACGACAGTAACAGAAAAGCTAGTATGTACTTTTTAATGACCACAGGTTATGAATATAGAATTACAATTTAGTGCCAGCAAACAATATAATTCTCAGTTGTAACTTGAGTCAGTCTTCCACTGATGAAAAACAAGGACTACGTCAATAGTACTGCACAACAGCTGCTTTTGTCTGAAACGTGCGTAGTGTAAGGATTTCATATTATGTACAATTATACATCTTTACATTTACAGGTAATACCATAAAATGAATTCGATGATTGTCACTTACGACTTATTACTGTGGAGCCTGAGCTGACACCATGGGAAATTCTCTTTATTTGAGCAGACATGACAAATTGACGTAAAGAAAATGGGAGTGGGTTGTTCTGAAAAAAAAAATTAAAAAACTTTAATAAATACTTTTTTGAATGTTATGAATGACAAAACTGAATATAATCCCCAGAGAGATATGAATGCTTGAGCAATTTAAAGAACTTTGAGGCTGTTTCCCCCCGTTTCCCACTAAATGAAAGAAAAGAGAAACCAGACACGTAATCTTGAACCCTTTCCTAACAGATGCACCGCAAAATGGAGTGTAGCTATGTTATTGAATGGTATATGGATGATTCTCTGTCCGTAGGTTGGCATTACATATCATCATGAATAATAAACTTTCACATCACTGCCGGCAATATAAATCTCTTTTCTCTTTAGACGCTCACGAAGCTAAAAACTTTACTGCTGCGGTAATTGCCTTCTGTATACTTGTCTGTAGAATCCATCATGGCTTATAATGTATAAAGTCACGTATTAAGTTCTGAATATCTTTGAGTTTCGTTAAAAATGCATGTCAGCGTTTTAAAAGGCGACAGTAATACATTAGGAGATAAACCAAACTGATACAATACATTTTTCTTTCGTTGTATTCCGCCTCAGGAGTCTTTTTTTTTATTGTTGGGAATGGGAAAATGCCTCGTTTTTTGCTCGCAGCGGTATCTTTTTAGTGAGTTTTCGAATTCCTATCTATTACCTCTCAACTGTCAGGAACGGCACTTATATTAGAACCCACGCTGCTTCCATTCATTAACACATCAATAACTAAAATGATTCTTTTTGCTTGAAACAGACAGCTTTTAGTGCGATTTGTTTTAATCAAGAATCGTTACTTCACTGAAAAAGCAATTAATGCGCTCGATCTACGTATTGACGTCTGCGAAGACATTAAACCCAACCTTATTATGGATACACTCGCGTATTTGGCTTAACATATCAAGGTGCACGTAATAGCTGCAATATTGTGGCCTATCCAAATACGAAATTAGTTATAGGGCAACACAATTCATACGGCCTCTGCCTGAACAAAGCATCATAATCACTTGATTCCTACCGGAAGATATCATGAGCTTCCGATTCAGGAACAACATATATATCATTAGTTTTTAATATTGTTTCTCTCCTTAACACGGCTCATTAACTTTATGTGGTGCTTACACGATTCTGTGGTGTGGGGATAAAGAGGCGCGGGTAAAAATTAAAGAACTAGTAGGATAATCAAGGTTGACCACCAAATTGATTTACATTCTCAGCCGTTGTTAGCCCATTTCATGCCGGTTTTATTATCTATTACATAGATATGAACTGACAGATCATATAATTTCTGTTACACCCATACAAGTTTAAGCCACCGAAACATTCACATGTCCCTTTTGCACCAGAACTGTTCAATACCTGGATATGAGTACTTTAATAACTTGTTTTAGTACGGCGGAGTAACATTAAATTTTCTCATCGTCAAATTAAAAGTGAACCGCAAATTTGTAAGTTTCAGGAGAGAAATAATATAAAAAATGTCGATAATCATCGAGGTAAGGTAAACATGAAAGATCAACACTTAGTTAACGAATAAACGTATTTTCTTTTACTTTAGGAAAATCTTATACGGATCCAGGTCAGGAGAAGTGATTGATGAGTCTGGAACAACCATGTATTTCTACTGTTTATGGATTCTGTTACTCGTACCCTTTATTGACGGAAGCAATTGTTCAGGTACATAACGAAATATTCCTATTTTTCGGGGTTATATTGAAGATCGAAGATCAGGCAATACAGGCGTGTGATTCTTTTTTTTTTTCTGAAATGTACGCTGTTTTCAAGGTTAAAAATTCAGACCAGCGAACGTTAAATGTATTTGGAACTGAAAGTGATCTTCTTCGACCTCAAAACGACATCGTTATGGGTCAATACGATAAATCAGACGAAGACTGAATAATTGAGAATGGGTATTGTTGAATGTCTTAGAGAGTACGGCCATACAAAACCCCTTACGACAAGTTCACATGAAAACCGCAAAGATACAACTTGAAAGGTAAGAATAGTCGCAGATTCATTGACAAATATATATAAAGGTACTACTGAATAAAATGGATTTAAAGAAACAGCAGGACATGTTAGTGATTTAAAGACACCAGATGTTCGATTTTTATTGGTCTCTCAAGCGTCGATATTTTTTAAGTGTCCACTCCAACTTTGCTTGTTGGTTTTCGTCAAAGCAATTTTGGCACTTTGGTCTGCGAGAGGTCTCAATGAGGCGTCCCTGCCTCACTGAGCCTTAGGTTAGAACGGTCATTAAATAGAGGCCAAAAGTAATGAGTTAAAGTCAGTTATCAGCAGCCAGGAAACTGTTTTAATCATTTAAACGAGGCACACAATTGCTTTCCTTGCAACAGACAACTGCAACGAAGCACTTGGTATGGAAGACTACAGTATTGAGGACTATCAGATTTTCGGTGGCACTGCGTACGATGGCGATTACGCCAGGTACGGTTCTCAGAATGCGAGACTGCACAGTTCTTTTGGATACAGAGCAGAACCATCGGCTGATACAGCAAGGGACATAATAGTAATCACATTGAACGAGGAGATGGTAATTACTGGAATAGCCACACAAGGGTATGGTGGACCTGGCGTTCTGGAATGGGTTACGGGCTTTTATTTATTATATACGTCTTTTGAAGGAATCCGACTGCCTGTCATAAACGCCAATGGACGAGAAATGGTAAAATAAGAGAAACTGGCTTGCTTTTACTTTAATATATCATTTTCATCATCATTGTTATTTTAATATTTTAGGAGGACTTGCATGTTGAAAGATTTGGAAGACAATTTGCAGAGGCTTATTGTATTCCCTCTTTAAGTTCCGGATCGATAGTGAGCTTCCAAGAATATCATATCGTAACTTGTAGCAATATTTAAGAAAAAAGAGTTTTTCATCTAGGTGAAAATGGATCTTGCAGAAGGTCACAATGCTGTCTTTTATTTAGTTAACATCCAAATTATCCCTACTGCTTATAAATTTTTTACTATGATAAATAAGATATATAATACTATAATTAAGAATTTGTTCATGCTTAGCGTGCGTATATCGAGTTATGGATGACGCGGGAAGTTTGGAGAGCACGAAAGATGCGTAAGAGTTGCACGAGGCGATAGCCGAGTGCAACTCTAGCTTCTTGAGTGCTAGCTCTCCAAACTTCCCGAGTGCATCCATAACTCGATATACGCACAGCTAAAAGCATGAGCAAATTCTTTTATAACATAGCTGACAAAAATGCTTGCTTTTTGATTAACTGCAAAATTCTCGTAACGCGTTACACAATAACAAAGGGTTCTATTGGCTGAATACGAACACGCCACAATCGTCTAGTTTGAACGAAAATATTCTTTCTGTAAAACTGAGAAAGTAAATTTGCTTCTTTATTCGTTAACGATCAATGGAAACTAAGCAGGAACAAAGGTAAAAGAGTCTTAAAGTTCACCTAAAGTGAAAATACTAACATGTTCGTAAGAAGTCGTGGAGTATGGTTTGGATTTGCTGAAAAGATGTTTACGTTTTGCTCGGCGAAATCCAGAAAACATGTTTTTAGCGAAGACGACTGTCATCCTTCTTTAAACTTATATTCATTTACGAACTTTGGCTGGTCATTACGGCTTCTTGAGGAGACCTGGCAGCAGTTGTTTTTGTGAGTGATAAATTTATGTCTTCTTATGTAATTTGTGTTGTTATTGCGAGAGAAATTTTCCTGCTTCAGTCGGATTGTTCGGAGATAACAAAAGTGCATAACAAATTTAAAAACAACAATAAAAACGGAAATGTTACCCATAAGTGTTGTTGATGACCAGTTGGTGTTCGTTCTGTTCCCAGTGAATGTCTTTCGGCCAAAATTTGCTGCAGCTGGTCTTCCGACAAATTTGCGAAACTCGCTACTTGCGAGTTTTTTTAAATTCAGCTTTATTTTTGCTGCCTGTTCGATCAGGACCTAAAAGGTCAATGCCGATATAAAAATCGGGCAGCTCTTCGCTGGTTTCTTCCGAAGGAAAACTGCACTACAGCTTAAAAGACGAGAACTGTACTTTGCAGCCAGCTAAAAAAAAAATGCTCACGTCATCTTATTTACGCACGGGCGTGCGTAAATAAAGATTTTGTTCATAGCGGCTCAATAGAACTTATATAGGGCAAGCACGCGCGCTATGTTATAAATATATATTATGCTCAGCGTTGCACATGTCAACACCTGAGTTCTTTGCATTCTCAGTTTCTATTTTTTCCGTCTCTATTAAAAAAAAAAAAAAAAGAACAATAACATACATCTTTTAGTGGTTTTACAACAGTTCTTCTACAGATATATTTATAAAAACATATATTATCACTTGAAGAATAAACACAGTTCAGCTCTTCGTGTAAAAAAGGAAAACAATGGTTGGTTGTTCCCCTTTGGAAATTTCCACCATGGATGAATTCTCTTTGTGTTTTATCCGAAATTTCGAAAAGCATTTAGAAAGGTTAGAGCTCTTTCTCCAGAGGAATTTCTGTTATTATACAAACAACATTATCTGACCATACTTTTATTCTATTTTCTCTAATTAGTTCTTCATTGGCAATGCAGACAGCAACACCATCAAGAGATGAATTGCCTATCCCTGTTCTTGCATCTACGGTGTACATTAAACCTATCACTAAACACAAGAATGTTGGTTTGAGATTGGAGCTTTATGGGTGTAAAGGAGGTATAATATTAAGAACTATTAGCTTAATTCAGCTAAAGTTTGTAAATAAAAGAAACTGCACAAAACATCAGACACTTGACTTCACTTGCCCTACGATCATCAATACAACTATCTATAACATGATTCCTGGGTTACACGTTTAAATCATTTGGTTTTTTACAGAAATATATAACTTTTAACAATAAATTTCTTCAGTGGTTGTAATTAATAGGTCAATAGCTTAAAATATGCCAACTCTATTTTCAAAATTCAACGAACAGCGAGAAAAAAAACCGCAATGGCTCACAGATACGACTTTCAATTTTTTCAGGGCATTATTTTATTGTCTGTCACTGTATTGTATACCAATCCTACGAGCGATGAATATAAAGAGGCCACCAAAAGAATCATATACGAGGTAGGTTTATCGACTGTTGTTGACGTTCTCTGACATTATATTGTTACTGATTGTACTGGAAGACGAATGATGAATAATTTTCAAGTACTCACGTAATTCGATGTTCATATTCATAAAGAGCACTTCTAAAAATATATCCAATAAGCAATTGGGATCAAAGATATTTATGACTACATATATGTGTGGATACTCTTAAGTTACTGTAATTACTGAAAGGATGAGCGGTATTGAAAGAAACAGTACATTAACTGAAGAGTTGAAAAACGTTCAAGAACTTCTATTTGTTGTGATTTTTTTTCTAGTACCATTTAAGAGAAAACATACTCGAAAACCCCAGATCAATTGTAATAACTCGAGCGGTCGCATCTAGAAGATATGAAAGAAGTAACTGAGCTTAAACATCATCTTTTCCTTGTTCACGACAGGTAAATGACATTTTAGGTACAACCTGGGGATTTCTTTTCGTCAAAGTAAAAGAACTGAGGTAAAGAAAAAATAAATTGTTGGTTTTTACTGTTAGCGCCCAACTTATCTTACAATTTATGTAACGTATTGAATGAATGGAGAAAAAATAGAGTGTACTACCGTGGCAACAAAACTTAAATAAATGATGTGAAATAACAACTCTTTACTTTCTTTACCGTTACTTTTCCAAGTACCCTTAGTAGAAACGAAGTGAAGAATCTTGAAAAGCTGGAAAGTAAATTCTTTGAGGGAGGGGGTGGGCGGTGCTTCAGAGACTCTTGGGATAGTTCTAAAATACTCGCCTTGCATTTTTAAATAAGAATAAGTAACCAAAAGCAAAGAAAGGGCCACGTCGCTCATTTAACAGATCAATTGTCAATAGGATAAAAAACTCCATCCTTTTTCGTGGGAAATTTCCAGTTTATGGTGCTTCCATGACATTTTGATAAACAAAGATCAACACTATTATGGTATTGGAGAGTCATCGTAGAAGAAATGTCACTTGTCATCGGTAATCATACTTTGCGTATTATTTAGTCGACCTACATTTGTGAGTTCTTTTTTCAAGTTCATTAAGGGTAGCAAACCTTGTCAAATTAGTAGCCTGAGAAGGCGTTGGGTGCGTTTCTTTGGTAAAATACAAACCCGGATTATAAAAACCAGGAACGAATTTTGCTTTCTTTTACTTAAATTTAAAATGGCAGTCACGTGACGGACCCTATTATTGTCACATATTACTTAGCCTATCGAGCCAAATTTGCAGTTTATTTTTCAGGTTATTAGCAAATAGTAAATAGCGTTGATAAAAGATGCATACATTTAATTAGGTAGTTATCCCGCGAGGGGCCTGGGTGCTTGTACTTTTTGTACTATTTTTAATGAATTGAACTCCGCCCTTTTAAAAAATGATATTTTGGACTTAGAAGATGGTATAATAATCAATTTTCAGCCCACAAAAATCACCAACCTTAAGCACAATGGTCACAGCAATAGTGGAAATACATTGTTTGCGATCCAGCGAACAGTTGTTGGTTGCAAAACTCAGGTCCGCAGTGGAAAAGGAGCAATCAATATTTGAGGCTAACTTCTTTAAGTTGCAATATCCAAGTAAGAATTCTAAGCGTAACAGTAAATCCTAAGGATGTTACTGCAACAGGGGACGGAAAACGAGTAACGAGCAAGAGGAACAAGAAAGTGAAAAATGGGAAAAAACATCGAATAGTTAATGTAGTTATTAACAGAATCAGGGTCTAAGTTAGGTCCCAGTTTTCATTTTCCCGCTCTCTGTTCTCATTGCCTTTTCCCTAGCCTGTTAGCTGTTTAGAGTAGATAAATGTGGCCAAAATAAAGAAATCGCAATAAAAACAAAGCCATTGTTGAGATACTATTACAATATTATTGTTATTGTTGTTATTGTTGTTATCATTTATTAGCGGAGCTCCACCCACGCGCGAAGCGCGCGCGTGGACGGAGCCCCATAGCTAAGGAAATGTGGTAATCTACCCATCCGAGAAAATTTGGTAATCACGTGACCGTACGCCCGACCGTCCGTCCCCACCACAGGGAAACCAATGTTTACTCTCACACTTTGTAGCTAGTTTGGTAGCCCAATAGAAAACTAATTGCACATCAATGTTGTGATCAATTGACAGCTGTCAAAACAGGATATCCGCTGACCAGTATCACCTGACCGTAGCGCGGGCTCAAGTGTCGACCCATCGAGATCGAGTACTTTTTTGAAGTTATCCGCTGACAAATATACCAGTTTCAAATAATCGCAGGCTCAAGTCTATTTTTTCCAATGATTCATATGAAATATGTCGTGTTTATGTCACTATGGCCCCGCACTGTCAAGATTTTGATTTCAAACTGACCTCGGACGCGAAAATTCAGCCCCTTTTTTAAAAATAAAGGCGGAGAAGACCTTTTCTTACCATGGTCACGCGTTGGTCACGCTCTACGTCCCATTTTTGTACCCTGATTGGTCAAAATTTGACAGGTGAGTTCATGCTGAAAATTTATGCAGCATCTTGAAAGTTGTTTACTTTGACAGCTAAAGCTGACAGAATTTTTTTGTCAACTTGTGATGTTTTTAACTGTCTTTTTCCACTGGATGTACAAAATGAAATATAGCTGCTATCAAGAGTCTTCCGTTATCCATGGCTGGTTTGTTTATTAGGTTTTTGGTTGAGAAATGCGTCGCTTGTCAAAATTGGCTAATCCGCTTTCGGATGGCATCGTTTTCGTCTTTCACCTTGCTCAATGCGTAAGAGGGTTTAAAAGTCTCAAGCAACTATGGCCTTCCTTGACATCTTTCAGGAACTGAATCTCGAATGGTAAGCCTGAGTAATTATTGTATTTGATGTTTTTTTTGTTTTTGTTATATCTGATTTCATGAAGTCGAGCACAGTTTATGCGGCAAGTTTTTGCACGTTTGTTAAAGATTTGAGTCAATGATCTGATCTAGTATCAGGTTTGGTATAAGCTTACAGATCTTTAAAAGGCCTTCAGATATATTTTCTCAGGGCATATTGAAAAAAAAAAAAACGTTCCGAAGAATATTTAGTTATAAATTTGGCTGTAGAAAGAAAACTTTGAGTGATTTTCTTGCTTCGAGGAGTTCATCTTTGAAAAAAAAAACAAACACCGGGCGGCCGGCTTGTAGTAAAACAAAATAAACTTAAAGGGGCTATGTCAGCTGGAGAGCATGCGCTCTGAGGTTATGCAAATTACTTTCAACTGTCAAAATTCTATTGTTTTTAACGCGTGACTTTCTCCATGTGCGCTGTGAGGTTATGCAAATTACTTTCAACTGTCAAAATTCTATTGTTTTTAACGCGTGACTTTCTTCATGTTCTCTGTCACGTCCAAGGTTCCGAATTTAGAGAGGTTTAGCGAAATGGGTTTAGATAAGGGATATTTCGATAGAATTTATGGAACGTTTCTTCTCTGGTTATGCTAGATCAAGAATAAAATTGCGACGACAACTTTACTTGTAGTTTTGAAGTAAAAACGCATGCCATTCATAAAATAGAGCGCAAACAAAAATTCAACAACAACATATTGTCTTATTCAACAAAATAAATGGAAGTTGTATTTTACAAACGAGCTACAAAAGACGCTAGACCGAAGATAAAGACCAAGACTGTTTCAAATCATTAACAATTAGACTTGTCTGTCGCTATTGATTTTATAATTTAGATGCTGATAGAACAAGAGACCAAGTCTTTGTTTTGATCTTAGGGAAACATACGTTATCGCGCAAAATTGTTCGATCGTGCCGAATCACTGCGACGTCGAGAAAAACCCAGCATCATTGGTATACTACTCCACCATAAGCAGTCCGTTGATAAAAAGGGAAAGCAAACTCTGCTATTTTCCAAAATTATGCTCCAACACAAACAGTTCAAAAACATGGCATTTACAGGATCTAACTCGTACTAAGGTGCCTCTCTAAGTCCGTTGAGAACAATCTGGACGAGCAAACGGTCGTGTTTATCTTTGCCGTGAATCGAGATAAATACAAGAAGGAATCTAGCCGAATTTTAGAATGTTTCCTTCGCCAGGAGTTTAGTTTCGTCACGAAACTCATGGCCTGATGCTCTTGTAATCGTTTACAAGAAACGGCCGCCGCCAACTCGATAGCCGCTTCATTATATGTCCACATACTTTGAGCACAAGAAAAATCCAAGAGCCAGCAGCCTCTAAAATAACTCAATAGAAAGGTCCTGTGAACTATAGGGAAGATTCCATCAAAGATTCCATCACTCATTGTGGAGTAGCCGTCATTAACTCTGCCATTACAACGGCCGCTGATAAGAGGACACAGTAAATCCACGTAAAAACATTCCACAGGCAAACAATTTTAAAATAACGCCAAAAAATTGTTCTGTAATCACCATAGAATGATTCTTAATACAAAACTTCGCTAACTATCGAACGATGGCTGAGATTTAGACAGATAAAAACAGCCTTCCAAAATCTCCGACACAACTTGAAAAAGTTGGGCTGTCTTTTTCAAGTTTGTTTTCATTGGCTCGCGCATGCGTGTTGGGTGACATAGCCCCTTTAAGCTTAAGCTTTAAGCTCAAAGACTCAGGATTTTTAGAGACACTTTAATACTTGTCTTCGTGAATGAAAATTGTTGTCTCTGTAAATGTTTTACCGAATTATATGTCTTTTATTGATTGTTTATAGTCTCTCTTGCAATTTTAATCGCTTGTACGTGGTGTTTGTTTTCATCGTTCATGAACATCGCTTGCAGGAGTACTTAGAAATGTCGCGCGTATCAAACGCTTTATAAGATTACACATCGTTATAACTGGAACCATTAAATAACAAAAAATAATGATAATAAATTCGTTATTATGTTGAAGCGTATCTCCATTAAAGTTCATTCAAACACTCGACCACACTGACAGCTCCCACTAAAAATGAGAACCGGCTGGCCGTATGGGTGATTTTGGAAATTTTTTTAACGGTTTCGCTAAAAGCCCACGATTGATCGTCCTGAACATTTAAAAATTGTGAAATGTCGTATTCTGTCCGAGGTCTGTATGATAAAATGTACTGTTTCCCCTCAGATGTGATGTATAAAAAGTATAAAGGGTTGGTTTACACACCCTCAGATTTGTTGGCAAGAATTTGTAAAGTGAACCTGTCGAACGCAAAAAAATGCGGCCTGATTTGTTTTCCAAAAATTTATTTTCGAGGCTTAATCTACTGTGATCAAGAGCCATTATGGCTCTTGAATGTGATAGAAGATGTTTGCTATTTTTTTAGGTGTACATACATGTATATTTAGGCTATCAACTCGATGTAAGATGTTTCACTCTAAAATAACTTATCCTTTCCCTCAAAAGTCACATGAATGTGCCCTTAAGTTAACTGATTTGTGGATTACAAGTTTATCGTTTGATATAAAATATAAATTTATTAATGGGAGATTCGCTTTTAGCCCTGGCTAAATCTATATATTATTGTTATCACGTTCTTAGGCATGATGAATGACATTAGCATTGACAAAAGGCAGCAACTCTATATAATCAAGAAAATGATAAATGGAGCCATTAGAGCAACATTACATCTTTTGTTGTAGAAACAGGAATTAGAATAGACTTTTGTTTTGTTTTGTTTGTTAGGGTCTTTTTTAATAATTCAATCTCAAGCAGCATTTGTAAATTGCCTATACGTGGCGAGATGGTATACATTCAAAAACACAAATAAAGTTTCCATTATTATTACAGCATTTGTCTGCTGATGTACATTGTACTTTCCTGGTTGTAGGGCTGATTTAAGTCTAATTCTGAACATGAAAACGATTTGCTTCATTAGTGTTTATTTGTAGTGTTTCCTTCTTTCGATCTTCCTTTTTTATTTAATTACCAATAATCACGTTATATTATCGCTTGCAAAATATTTATCAGAGAACTTATCTTTTTGCAGAAAGATGCGAATGTACTCCAGTTGAAGCTGAGTTGAACCTTGGAAGAAATATGACAAGTGCGAAGGAAATTTTTCGTTCAAAAAGAGGCCTGAGTTATGCGATCAAAGTAAAACAGACTTGTTTACAAAATGGTGTGTTTTATTCATGGCAGATATCACAAGTTGACAAGGAAACTGGTTATTTTGGCCCGATGCAAAACTTTGGAAATGGAGAGAGACTCATATTGCTACCCAATCTCTTTGATCTTGGCTATCTTTATGTACAGTCATTGTTGAAATAAGAGGTGATACTAATTCAATGGCTTACGATTATGGCTATATAAAAATAGTTGAGCCGCTCATAGCCATTATAACTGATCTAACACATGAGTCACGTTTATCAACTGAAATAAAACTAAGCGCTAATCAATCTTATGATTCTGGAGAAAGATCGATGGGCTTTATTGGCATAAGCTTTACTTGGTTCTGTAGATTGGAAAATGAATTGTTTCCGGAATCTATTGTAGAACATGTTGTGGACGTAGCACGGGGAAGGGAGGCAGGTCACCGTGGCTGTTATGGATATGGGCCTGGCAGGCTTACCCCAAGAGATGTATTGTTAAGCTTGGATATGAGAAATATGGTGAAAAGCAAGAAATACATCTTTAAGCTTCTTGTGGCTAAAGACGATAGAAGTGCGAGTGCCGAGTACGAGTTTAAAGTCAGATCACAGCAAGTTGTTGTTTCTGTAAGGTAAGGACTCGTGGGAACTTAGAGCGCAACATTTTGAAGTAAAGTTAAGCTCGTGATTATTTTTCAAACTTTTTTTGATCTATTCTGGCTGCAGCCCTGCTAGCACTTTTTTTTTTCAGGTCTTGGGACTTTCTGTAAAATACAGATCAATGGAGTGAACCAACAATGCAAATTTTTCAAACTTCGGAAAAGACAACCAATACGTTTAAAGCAGACATCTGCTTATTGTACTTAACTGTAAATAAGCCTGCTTAGAATAAATCAAATTCATTTTTTTCTGTCAGTCATTCAAAACCAATTAGATAATCCCTATTTCCGATAATTTTGGACCAGTGATATCACAGCAGTCCGTGTTGTGTAATAAAGATTGTAAAAAAAGGCAGTTATGAGGTGACTGTCCTACTTTAAGTGTGTGGTTTTGAAAGCGAAGAGTTTAAGGCTACGTTCAAATGGCACCGGACGAATTTCCGACCGGATGAAAAATTTAACCGGACAGTTCATTGGCACCGAACCGTGGTACTGACGAGCCTGGTTGAATTTTCACCTTTGTCCCATGCACAGAGCAAATCAAAATGGCGTCTTCTTTGGGTACTACGCATCCTTGTGTTACCAGTCCTTTTTGGTACGAAAATTTAGACGGTTATGGTTTTCAAAACGTGCCGGACGTTTTTTCAACCCAATCGGCTAGAAATTTGACCTCTTTTTTGGCATTTAAATTTTTGAATGGCGAGGCGTCTAAATTTTTGTACGATTACGGTAGTTCCGAGAGAACAGAACACCGAAACGTACAAATTTTCAACCAGTCGAGATTTCGCGGTCTGGTGCTGCGTTTACGTAGCCTCAATCGTCTCGTCAGAATGGGAAATTATCTACGAAGGAGGTTTTGTTTATTGTTTGTTTGTTTGTTTTTCTAGGTGTATCTCAAATTGTGGAGCAAAGGTGAGTCCTCAAGATGGACTCAGTCTGGAGGCCATTTGTTACGGAGAACTTTGCAAAAAAACGTCTAGTTATAAATGGAGTTTGCATTTAGTTAGTTTCTCTCGGGATACTTTCTCCATTTTGGACGTCTCCGATGCAGCAGTCAAACCATCAAAGAGCAAAAATCATGTTTTGATTAATATTTCCAAATTACACCGTGACACTGCAAGAAAGCGTTTATATTACCTGGTTAAAGCTGTGATCCATCTTGACGACCATATAGAAGTCGAAGGAAACTTTTCTTTCGTGGTCAACTCACCACCCCAGAGGATGACATCGGAAGCTTTCTGTGACGTAAATCCATCGGAAGGAGAGGCCGTTTCAACTCATTTCAGAATTAGGTGTTTAGGATGGTACGATGAAGATCAACCGCTGACATACCTATTTAGATATGGAGGAAAACATGACATGATCGTCATTCAAACCGGACAGTTAAACAATATTAGTACAAAACTTCCAATCGGAGATCCTGACAAGGATTACACTCTGGTGTTGGAGGCACTTGTTGGAGACTCTTTCAAGGATTTCACCATAACCACACTGACAGTTAAGGTAGGAAACTTTTGCGGCCCTCTTCATATCATTGTCGAATACGTTTGGACTTGTTTTACAGAATACAACTACTCTTTTTTTAATTAAGTCTTCTCATTGTTCAAGTGTCTGCAGTAAAGGGCCCCACAGGTAAGGCCGGCCAACTGCCCGGACCAACTGTTCTTTTTCGTCAATTTTTTTTGTCCTTCTTGGAAGATGCGAACTGGATCAACAAGCGTATTTAAAGGCATTTATCATTCTCATATGACTATTTTCCTATTTCGTTTTATTCAATTAGGCGTTGTAACCCATTAAATTAAAATCTGTAGAGTTAGGCCCTAAATGTCGACGTCAGTACTGCGGGGGTGTGTTCGAGCTAAGCAACAATTCCGGTGACTTCTCTCCCGAGCAGCTAATACATTACCCAGAATTTTGGTACAAGTAAAAACAAAAAGACGAAAACAGGAAAAAACCTATGTGGAAAAATCAAGACTGACCTTGAACCACTTAATGAAACAAAAACGAAACTTAAAAGAAAAGACAAATCCTGAAAAAAGATAATAACTTTCAAAATACTTCACAACAGTACTGATGAGAGGATATACAGGATATTTGACAATACTTTTTCTATCGTGGGTGCGATTATTTCAAAGAACTTACTGCAATATTTCACACCAAAGCAAGCTCTGAGGTAAGACATTCTATTGTTTATATTATATGACTTTCTCTTTTCTAGGTGCGTCCACCAAAGCCATCTGAACTTAACGACCAATTTGTTGACCACCAACTTACCACCATTCGTAGTTTCATTGAAGCTGGTGATGCTAACAGAGCAACTGAACTTGCTATTATGTTAATGTCAGCTGTGAAAAGCTTGAAAGACAAGACGTATAACAAAATGGCACTAAGTTATTAAATATTAATATCAAAGTGTTAATATTTATGGTTTTTCTGACAGGGCGACATTCTTCTAGACATGATTGATATTAATGTCACAAGCATTGCCCACGTAACACAAGTCGCTGCTGTTGTTCTCTGGGCGACCGAAAAGAAAACCACAATTTCGCAGAAAATACAAGTAAGTTGAAGGACAATTTAACGTTTGTAGTATAGTATCCATGAATTACCGTTGAAATGTCCGAATAAGGGCATAACCCGTACAAATTAAAATAATTTGTAATTTATCTAACAGGTTATACAAATCAGAAGGGCAACAAAATCTCATAGAACATGACCTAACCTACCTTACAAACCAAGAAACGGACTAAAGCATTCAAACTATGATCTTGAAAAAACTATGAAAAAATAACTATCAACACTAAAACGTTGATCTCGAAACTAATCTCGAAAAGTTGTAAAATGACAGTTTAAACAAATTAATAAAATCTGGAAAAAAAAATTTTTCTTTGCCCCCTGCTGTAGCTTTTATCAGAGTTTTGGAAACATCAAATAACTTGCAAGTGATCAAGACGAGTTTTGCCTTCTTACAGAAAAAAAATGAGAGAACATCTATACTCCCCTTGAAGCTTCACAAGTTTTCTGTAGTAAACGGAACAATCGTCTTGACTTGATAGTTTTTATCATAACTCCGATCGATAACTCCGGCTATAGCACTTAATGGAAATTCAGTTTAACAGTTTTTAAGTCATTTCAGTCTCAAACCTTTTACGATAATAAAACACAATGTTCATGTACATTGGATAAAATAGCTGTGGGATTATCATGCGTAAAATAATGTATTTTTTTGAATATGCTGTTATGAAGTCTACTATTGCTGCATTTCCTCTCATATCATTTGATGTAATTTGCTACTTCATTAGGAAAGAGCACTGACTTTGATATCTGAAGCCACAATTTTTATGATGACCGAATTTAACTCCAACAGCACCCATGATGCCAAGCTAGCTCTGAATGTTAGCAAAGTCTTGCTTGACAGTTTGGGGGGTATTTTACAAGTATCATCCAGAGATGCTAAACAGGATCAGCGAAACGTGTCTGGACAAGTGAGGATTACTTATCAGTAACAATTGATTTCTTTCTTGGATTAATTTGCCTTGCAAAACCCAATCAACCACATCTCGCAGTTGAATACTTGATTAAAGGTAGTTTTTAAACATTTTTTTTAATTTACTTGAAACAGTTTCGGTGCAATTTTGATACTCTCCTAACAATCCAATAAGAATCCAATAGTGTACGAAGCGGGAAACTACCCTCTTATATAACTGCCAGAACGTTTTGTTTAGTCTGAAGCTGATGACGAAAAAGGGCTTCAACGAGATTCGAACCCATGGCTTAGCTCTGTGTTTGTCGAATCCTCCTGAAGTCCTACTTCTTTCGGGCTTAATTTACAGTTTCTTAAATTGCGATTACCAATGCGATGGTCATAATTTTATATAGAGAGGATTTTATTTATTATTTTCGTCTCTATCTATCAAAGCCTTTTGGAGCTGTACCTAACTCCCTTATTCTCGTTTGTGCCACAGGGTAGGCAGTTGACCATAAAGGCGATTGCGTTAGTCAGGAAGGTCGCCGAGGCCCTCTCCTTAATCCGTCACAACCACAAAAGAAGAACTGTAGTCAAGTCTGATTTTGTGGATATCATAATTTACAAAGAAAAACCAGATATTATGGCAGGTCAAAACTTCACTGAGGAAAATGGAAGCGTTTTTGTTCCTGAATCCGTAATGAAAACACTACCAAACACTGACGACAAAATTTCATTGCAGGTGAGTGGAGTGTATTGATGTCAGCGTACTTTCTCAGGGGCCGATGGCAACAAATAATGTTTGTTACTTTACGTTTACTATTCATATTACAAAGCAGCAGGTGTAACGGCTTCTTTTCGATCCTTCCTGGGTGAAAATTGAATGTTAAGAAAACAACAGCAACAAATTAAGAGCCTTTTGATTCATGGTGATAATTCTGCTGGCTTTTTTTTTTCAGTTAATATCATTTCAGTCCAATCCTTACACATGGGATGCACGTATGTTGGGCATCGATTCTATGGTAATTGATGTCATTGTCAGAACTAAAAACAGCTTGCAAATCAAGATCACCAACCTAAGTGAGCCAATAGGTCTATACATAACAAACAAACGGAAACAAGAACCATCAAGAGAGCACCGACATTTGTTTTTACAGCCAGGAATTGTTCAGTATCATAGCCTGGTCATCCCATCCGAGGAACATGTGGCTTCACTCAGAATTTTCAACAATGAAAGCCGTCGCTTCACCATTTATATTGGGAGAGGATTCAAACCGAACTCTGACAATTACACTTCTATTGCGGTACTTCCAGAATTTTCTTCTTGTCAGCCAGGACTCTCCAACTGTTCTACTGACCCTCATACCCTTAATCTTATAAGTTATGAGCCTGGCCTGTACTACGTCGGCATCAACTTAGATGAAATACAAAACGCTTCAAAAGTACGAAGATCTTGCACAGGAGATGACAGACGGAAAACGAGGTCTTGAGTCAAAGTGAAGGATCCACGTAAAACTCAACCTCCTACCCCCATGACCATTACACCGCATTATGATGCACATGCAAGTGTTAACTATACGTTTACGGTTACCATAGGAACGTGCCTATATTGGTCAGAAAAAGAGGACAAATGGTCAAGTAGAGGGTGTAGGGTATGTAAAAAATGGAAATTCAGGACAAAATTAGAGTTAATGTCGTTATGTTCGGTAGCCATAATGTGCTCACAATCTTGCTTTAAGAGCAATTAGAGATTGCATCTGACATAGCTAAGTCCAGGGAAAAAGGTTCCTTTACGTAAGGCAAAGCCAAAGGTGAAGTCTTTCGTTTAATTAGGGCAGATATTAATGCAACCTTAGCTTTACTTAGTCCAGTAAGTTCATGTGTATATTGGGGTTATAATAAGGCTTTGAAGTCCGACTGAAGCATTGACAAAGTGAGAAGGTGAATTATAAGCTGATCTAGTGTCCCAAGTGGCATGGTTTCCCGTTGAGCTCTATTTATTAAGTTCTGAGCTGCAAACAGACGTTTTCCCTCTGTTCTCACTGGCCAACATCTACAAATTTCCATGGTGCAATACATAAAACATTTGAGCTGGTTTACCAAGGTAAAAATCGTCAGAGAGAATAAAACGCAAGGTCATTCGTGACTTTTTCACTTGCATCAGTAGCCGAAGTAACTGTATGAGAAATTTATTTGAGCTACTAAAACGCTATTTGTTTTCTATCATAATTATAATTAAGGTTGGCCCAGGGTCAGAAATTGGGAAAGTTCACCGCCTTTGCGACCACCTGACGTCATTTAGCGGAGAGTTCTTCGTTTCACCAAATCCAATTGACTTCAGAAAAATCTGGACAGAGTTTGGTAGGCTGGGAGAGACTAAAAACTATGTTGTGTTTGCAACTGTTTGCATTATGTTTGGAATTTATCTCATTGGTTTGCTCTTTGCTCGACGTTTCGACAACAAAGACACGTTCAAGGTATTTACTTGAACCTCACCACCGCCTACTAGCGTAAGATCTCTACACTGATTATGTAGTTCTGAGGTTAAATACACATATTGGACCAGGATAGGGGTTTCCTCTTCTATTTTCGTGATGGTTTTCTGTAATTGTTTTTCTTTTCTTCGGTGTTATTGTATGACCCATATATAATATTGGGAAGAGCATTTATCAGGAGCAAAATTGGACAGGAAATTAGTTATTGATGAGGTGAAGAAAACTGCTCTGCTTGGTAGCCACAGCAATAATGTTTAACCCGTCAATGATTAAAAGCGATGGTAGCTAATGCATCTACATTCGATTTAATCCATCTGTCTTTCTTTCAGGTAATTACAGAATTCAGTCTTTCGGATAAAGAAAGTGATGGGTACCTTTATTCAGTTTCAATACAAATTGGCGCGTGGAGGAAGTCTGGCACTACTGCTAATGTAGGCCTAGTTTTTTATGGAGTTGAAGATGTTTCAAAACCGATCATCTTTGCACAAAATGACCTGCAAAGAATACTCTTTGCAAGAGGCAGCGTCAACACATTTACTGTATCTTTCGAGAAATCACTAGGATCCTTGTTTAAAATTAAAGTATGGCATGACAATTCTGGACACAGTCCATCTTGGTTTCTTTTGGAAATAGTCGTGCAAGACATCCAGACAAAGGAAAAATGGCATTTTATCGCCAATCGATGGCTTGCTGTTGAAAAAGGTGACGGTGGCATAGACATGGAGTTAAGGTCCGCTTCTAATGACGAATTATTGGATTTCAAGAATGTTCTTCATTCACGAGCACAAAAAGCTCTGGGCGACTCTCACCTATGGGTTTCAATTTTCACTAAGGCTCCGCATGATCAATTTACACGGTGTCAAAGACTTTCCTGCTGCATGTCAATCATATTCGGTGCCATGGTAACGGGTGCAATGTTTTACCGTTTTGGTAGCAAGTCGACGGACGTATTTCACTTTGGGCCGTTAAAAATGAGTTGGACAGAGATCAAGATAGGAATTCAAAGTGGCTTAGTTGCAATACCAGTCAATTTTCTAACTGTAACCATTTTTAGGAATGTTAAAGAAGCTAGTGTCCAAGCATCATCTGTGAATTGCCTTCCTCATTTCTTTCTTTACATTGGCTGGGCTCTTTGTGTCTCGGCTGTCATGGCCAGTATAATGTTCACCATATTTTACAGCTTAACTTGGGGAGCCGAAACCTCAAAACAGTGGCTTGTGTCAATGACATTCTCGTTCTGTCAAGATGTCTTTCTTATTCAACCCTTTAAAGTACTGTTTTTCGTTTTGTTCCTGTCGATGATCATAAGAAGACCACTAAGCACAGACTTTATGTATAGGAGCTCTTCGCAGGCTTTGGCTAATTGCACACTAAGTACCGGAGATGGTGAAAAACAAGCCAGAATTCTCCAAGCGGGAGAATTAGAAAACGCGCGTCGTTCCAGAAGGAAACAAGCAAAGGCGTCCGGTGCAATCTCTGAGATTATCTTTTTCCTTGTGTTTATAATTCTCTTTATGGTTGTTTGCTATGGAAATCGCGATTCTGTCAGATACAACCTAACAAAATCCATTCATTATGTCTTTAAAGACTTTTCAAAGGTAGGTGTGCATTTTTTTGTTTTTAACTGCAACGTTACGCCGTTTGCACTGTTTATTCACATATAAAGTCTAATATAACTCATTTGCATGATAAGACTAGACTCAACATTGGAATTAGAATTGAGGAGTACAATTTGGGAAAAGAATGATGAGTCGGCAGCAAAAGTGAACAGTATTTCAACCAATTTGATGAGTATTGTACAGATTGTAGATTTTCAAATCTTAGTACATTTAAAATCGGTGCAGGTTTAAGCGGGTTTTTCGTTCAGCGCTAATGTGACAAAGTTTTCAATGAAGAACTGTCAAGGTTTTAAGAGCGACTTTCTGTAAATACCACGGATAGGTGTGCAAGATGGAAAAATCGACATCCCCCAAACTTTGTCAAAACAAAGCCCTTTGGAAACTACTTTAGAAAATACAAGACTCAGTTCGTTTGACTCAATATTTTCCAAAATAATAATTTTTTTTTAATTTTCACCTTCGAGAGGCCTTCAAACCACCGAAAAATGTGCTTGATACCCTCGCTTCGTGAATGGAAACGGAAACTAATACCATAACTTTTCTTATATTAAACAATTTTATGATCCTTTCTTTCTACCTAAACGTTGTTACAATTTCAAAAGATTTCAATCTGATTTTTTAATATTTTTTCAAAATTACCCTCTAAATCAGCATTATCGCAACCATCAATTTTGTCATTTTTCAACGGCGAAAATCCTTTCCTGGTACATGGCTTTCATTACAAAAATGGTATTCCAGAGAAAGAGCAATGTTTCCCCTATCAATCTGTGAAATAAAATTCTTGGGCAATTGAAACTGCGAGTTTTTACAACGGAAAACATTTACGGTACTCGCGTGATTTACGACCTCTGAACTTGCAGTTGTATTGATGAATACAAGGGAGAACTTAGACAGCACTTGAAACTCTGACGCAAATTCGCCCCTTTTCCGCCAGTTTAAACACCAAAAACGATTTTCGATTTCACAGTGGTAAATTTTCAAAAGGAAAAGCAATTTTATTGTACGAAAGTGTGCTATGAACTTCTTGACTACAACACATCCCTTACGTACGTATTTGTTTACTTTTGCCGTATCTGTAACAGTTATCATATATCTACAAAACGGCTTTAGTGTCGGTAGCTATTCTTTCAAATGCTCTCATTTCTCATGAACCAAATCGTTATAGCTATAAAAAAGGAAAACGTTTTGACCTACCTCACATTATTTGACAACAGAACCGAATCCTTTACTGCCGTTAACGAAATGAGATGGCGTGACAAAGAACTTTGAGACCCAGGTTAAAGACAGATACCATTCCGGTAAAGACACTGACGCGGTGCCTTCTGTAACTATAAAAGCAAAACATGTAAATAATCAAAATCCTTAGTTTCACTGACTTATCCGCCAGAGCGATTATGAAAACGTAAGACTAAAAAACATATTTTCCACAACAGACTATGAAGTGGTTGGCCCCTATATTCTCTTACTTTCCATAAACGCCTGCTTACACATTTTGAAATACGATTATGAATTCCTTTCTTGTATCCTTAGAAAAATGACATTTAGGGGGGAAAAAAGTGCTAATTCCTAGTCTTAAATGTCATCCGTCCCTTCCCTCCACCCCCTAAGGGGCGGCAGCCCGTTTCGGTGTGGGGCGAAGAAACGCAGAACATTTCAGAGTGGACATAGCGGGGCTAGAAAACCTGCATAATTTTAGAGCACCTCTGGTGTTATAAAAGCAAAGCTTTCAGTAGTTCTGGTAACCTCGAGCAAGTTTTGCATTTCTGAGCAACGTTTGGGAAAAATATAGGCTTATGTCAAGCCAGAAAAAAGTGAGCAGTTTCATAGAAATGTCAAGTACGACTGAATCGCGCCCGTATAAGCGCCCCTAATGATTCTGGCATGGGGAGGGGGGAATTTTGAAATGGAGCGAAGGGGACCTAGGTCTAACCATACCGTCTCCGCTTTAGCTGTGAGTCTGCCTTGGAGATAAATTTCGCTCATATTTTTGAGCAACTCTTTAAAGAAGATTGCAAGCCGTATAGTTGCGTCCGTCTGGAACGCTGGAGCGGTGAAACCAATAATCGCGCCCCTCGCACCTTGAAAAAAAACTGCGTTTTTTGAGAAAAAACAGAAAAGAAAATAAAAGAGAAGGAAAGGCCGTTCGCACTAACTGAAAGCTATTTTTTGCATTGCTGTTGAAAATCTGAAAAGGAATAGTCTTACACACGTAGCCCTCGGGGCGGTACCAGGTGAATATATCACATACCTCATCGTTCCAGGTATATAACCTTTACGTAAGCATAGGATGTAAGACACACTTGCGGATACGCGTAAGCATAACGTGAGATACCCAGGCGCAAAAAAATAACAGTCGCGCGGCTAATGTTGGCTCCCCTCAAAAATGAAGAGAGTTAACGTGGGCTTGAAAAGTGAGATATTCGGATATCTTCGGATAATTGATAGCGAGTTATTTCCAGTCCACGGACTTTCTCCTAAATTTTTCGAAAGTATTTGTTCTCTTAGAAGACCCAGAATTTCGAGATTTCTTGATAGTTTTATACATACGCTAATTATGAGATTCCTTTTCTTCTTTCCTAACGATAAGTTAAATAGGTCAAGAAAAAACAGCTGTCAGTAAGTTGAAATAAGTTTTTTGAGGGCGTGATCTTTGGTTTCACCGCTGAGCGTTCCTGACGGGCCCAAATATACGGGCTTGCAATCTCCTTTAAAGAGTTGCTCGACACTGTGGGTAAAATTTATTGCCAAGGGAAACGGACAACTAAAAAGCAGGCGGTGTGCTTAGAGCTAGGTCCTCTTTGCTCAATTTCGGAGTTTCCCCTCCCCACCGAGCCTCCCCCTCCCGCCCGAGTCATTAGGGGCGCTTTTACGGGCGTTGTTCAGTCGTACTTGACATTTTTTATCAAACTGCTCACTTTTTCTGGCTTGACATGTGCCATAACCTATATTTTGGTAAAACGTTCCTCAGAAATGCAAAACTTGTTCGAGTTTGCCAAAACTACAGAAAATTTAAACACAAGAGGTGCTATAAGGTTGTGCAGGTTTTTTAGCCCCGCCATGTCTAGTCTGAAATGTTATGCGTGCCTTCGCCCCACCCCGAAACCTGCTGTGGCCCCTTAGGGGGTGGAGGGAAGGGACGGATGACATTTTAGACTACGACTTAGCGCTTTTTCCTAAGAATACAAGTAAGGAATTCATAATCGTATTTTAAAACGAGCGTGATGAAAACAAGAGACTTCAGTGGAACCTCGATTTAACGAAGAGTCAAGGGCCTAAAAAAATTTCTGAGCCACCCAACGACGGTTTCCTTCTAAATTCATTGAAAACATTTTTCAATGGTGTACCCAGAGTACTTTTAGATCTCTAGAAATGCATTCTAAGCGGCTTGTAAAATTTGTTCCTGTTCGGTCATCCTAGGGAAACTTGCATTGAGCATTTTTGAAATTACAAGGGCTTCAGTATTATCTTCCCAAAAATTTTAGATGCAATTTAACGTATCACGAAAGTGAGAATTTTTCTGATTCCTCTCTCAATCACATGTTTGAATCCGAACATTTTAGGCTTCCTCTTTTCTATGAAAAATTAGCCTAACCTGGGATGTAAAATGTGAAAAATTAAACTTCAGAAAATCGTAGGGAATTTATAAGATAACCTTCGAAAATTGAACAGGAACGGAACGGGCATCTAGAAATTTTTAGGCGTCCTCAAGCTATAGAAAATTCTAGGCAATATCTACTTCTCCCAAGATATATTTTACAGAAAACAGTCGTTGAGTGCCCCTGAAATTTGCTCGCTATAACGAGGTTTCGTTATATCGAGGTTTTTTTTTTCATACCGTAAATCCTCTATTAAGCTCCCCCGGGGGGCTTATTATTTCAAGCTCATTTGAGGGGAAGGGGCTTAATAGAGACGGGGGGCTTAATATGTTTAATTTAGAAACTAAGATGGTATCGCTTCTCCATAAAGAACTAGAATACAAAGTGGAAAAGCTCAAGTACAGGAAGTTCTAGGTCATGCAGTCGAAAATCATAATCAGTCCACACGTCGGATCAGTCCACACGAAGCCTTTACGGTCGTGATTGATTAATACAGTCTTTCATTTATTAGTGAAGAATAATTACGGGTGGGAAGCGGATCGGATCAGTCGGATCAGTCCACACGAAGCCTTTACGGTCGTGATTGATTAATACAGTCTTTCATTTATTAGTGAAGAATAATTACGGGTGGGAAGCGGGTGCTTGATAGAGGGGGGGGGCTTATCAGAGTGAGGGGGGTTATTTGACAGGGGGCTTTAATATAGGTTTTAAGGCATATTTTACTATTATCGAGGTAAAGAAAATCATTCGTAGGTTCTTTATATCGCGGTTCAGTGTTACGTCGCTCTGGCAGATAAGTCAACGAAACTAAGGATTTTGATTTTTTACATGTTTCGCTTTTATAGCTACAGAAGGTGCCGCGTGAGTTTCTTTTTCGCAATGGTATCTGTCTGCGCGGTATAACCTGGGTCTCAAAGTTCTTTGTCACGCAATCTCGTTTCGCTAAAGGCAGAAAAGGATTCGGGTCTGTTGTCAAATAATGTGAGGTAGGTCAAAATGTTTTCCTTTTTTTATAGCTATAACGATTTGGTTCACCGACACTATTAGCCATTTTGTACATATGTGTACGGCAAAAGTAAACAAATACGCACGTAAGGGAAGTGTTTGTAGTCAAGAAGTTCATAGCACACTTTCGTCCAATAAAATTGCTTTTCCTTTTGAAAATTTACCACTGTGAAATCTAAAATCGTTTTTGGTGTTTAAACTGGCGGAAAAGGGGCGAATTTGCGTCAAAGTTTCAAGTGCTGTCTAGGTTCTCGCTTGTATTCATCACGACAACTGCAAGTTCAGAGGTCATAAATCACGCGAGTACCGTAAATGTTTTCCGTTGTAAAAACTCGCAGTTTCAATTGCCCAAGAATTTTATTTCACAGATTGATAGGGGAAACATTGCTCTTTCTCTGGAATACCATTTTTGTAATGAAAACAATGTACCAGGAAAGGATTTTCGCCGTTGAAAAATGACAAAATTGATGGTTGCGATAATGCTGATTTAGAGGGTAATTTTGAAAAAATATTAAAAAATCAGATTGAAATCTTTTGAAATTGTAACAACGTTTAGGTAGAAAGAAAGGATCATAAAATTGTTTAATGTAAGAAAAGTTAAGGTATTAGTTTCCGTTTCCATTCACGAAGCGAGGGTATCAAGCACATTTTTCGGTGGTTTGAAGGCCTCTCGAAGGTGAAAATTAAAAAAAATTATTATTTTGGAAAATATTAAGTCAAACGAACTGAGTCTTGTATTTTCTAAAATAGTTTCCAAAGGGCTTTGTTTTGACAAAGTTTGGGGGATGTCGATTTTTCCATCTTGCACACCTATCCGTGGTATTTACAGAAAGTCGCTCTTAACAAGCATCATAAGGTGTTATATCTTTAAAAACGACCGTGCAAAGGTCTTCTTTGGGTGAAAGTAATTTCAACAAAGAATCTTCACTTAGTTGGAACGGATTGTCTGGTAAAGATCAAAATTTGCTTAGTTTGCATATATAGTTTGAACAGTTTTCGAAGAACTATTAGAAATCCCTTACTGAGCTTGTTTACTTTACAGGTAAACAGTCGCGTGACATTTTGGAGCTGGATGAAGAACACCTTTGTTCCTGGAGTATACAACACCAGCTGGTATAACGGTATTCCTTTTGACCACGAGGATGGGTTTATCAGTAATAGGGAAAACTTTTTGGTTGGAATGCCTAGACTGAGGCAAGTGAGGGTGCTGCCAGGTAAGTAAATGTTATCGTTCTTTGAAAGTTTTATTTTCTTGTAACATTTTTTTAAATGTGGGCGGGATCATCACTGGTAAATGTTGAACTAGCTTAAGGCAAAATCCTCTCACTGAACATACTGAAAGAATGTTGTACTATTGTATTACTGTAACACCCGCTCTTTCTTTAGACTTGCTCGCGCCTAATTGTATCAAGCGTGTTTTTTGAAAATAATGGAAATGTCTAATGAGCCAGGACGGATATTGGCCAAAGCATGTTAAATTGAAGTCTATTGTTTTAAGGTGGAAAATTTTCTTGAAATTGCTGAACTCAAGCGCCTTCGATAAGTAGTATAGGAGAAGGGTTTTAAGCTGGTTCATCTAACGTGGGGAGAATACATAGCAAACGGGTGTATGGACTGGTTTTTCAAACGATTGTAGATGTAAATCAAGTTTGACAAGTGCTTCAAAAGTGTGGACACGGCTTTGTCTATGATGACATATCTTTTACTTAAATCTTTATCAATTGTCCTGGAAGATCGTTTTGCATTGTTCGAGGAGTTAAAAAGGCCTACATCCTTTGCCGACGTCACTATTTAGGGAACTACTGCTCTGAAATACATTACTACTACCCTAAAATATATTAAGTCTAACGATTCAAATCCCCCTCTCGTCTGGCTACATAGCAAGCAGTGTATTTCTTTACTTTCTTGACACATTTTCCCTGAAATATTAAGACTGCGTTTACAAGGCACCTGAGGAATTTTTGAACGGCTGAAATTTTCACCGGTGGGACAACTGTAAGATTTCAACGGGTCAAAAAATCGTCCGGTGACCATTATACGTTTCTGGGAAACTGCCCACCTACCCCTTCCCTAAGCCAACATTAACACTTACTTCTCAATTAAGGCTTAAGGCAAAATGTTGCCTTAGGGGAGGGGTCGGTGGAAAGTTTCCCTGAAACGTATAATGATCCAACTCTTCTTTACCACCACGATTATTTATTTCTTATCCCTTCTCGCCTTGGGTTAATCGATTGTCAGGCCATCACTAAGTCCATGAGGAGTTTATTTCGATCCGATATCGGGTACGCGTCAGTATGATATCTAATTCAATTGAGTTTCACTAAAAATACTTGGTATATAAAAAAGGTATCGACATTCCATCATAGTAACCGATGAATACCCTGTGAAAGTAGATATAGTTCCAACACAACGAAGGCAAAATAGCAAAAATGGCGTGTTTTATTTTTGTTAAACTTGTCAATGATAATGCCTCACTCTCGTTAAATTAATTGCATTTCATTTGTTGGTACTGTAAAGTTACCATCACCCAAGAGATCTATTAGAAAAAGTTACACCGAGATTTTCCATACTTTTTTTGAATGAATGAACGGGAGAATTTTATTTCCTCAGAAACGCCTTGTGAAGATCAAACCTGCACGGAAAGAGAACTTAGATTTTCCCGATGCCTGCCATTTTACAGCTACGGAAAAGAGGATACAACCGCGTTCAACAGGCCAGGTTGGGTGCCTGTAACCAACATGACATTTCTGTCTGAAGACATTTTGAATACGTTGTGTCCAAGGCCATGGCAATACCGTAACGCACAAGAATTGAATACTAAGCCGATCCGTGGCAAAATGGCCGTTTACAGTGCAGGAGGGTACGTGGCGAGTCTCGGGTACAACTCGAAATTAGCACTTAATGTTATAGAGGGTTTGCATCAGGGCAACTGGATCGATGACAAAACGGTCGCTGTTATTATTGAATGCACCGTTTTTGAATCTTCGCGATCCCTGTTTAGTGTGTTGAAATACGTCTATGAAAGATACCCTACGGGTGGCGTATTAACAACCAGTCAAGTAAAAACCATAACGGTTTATCTACCGCAAGGTTCTAGTAGATATCGATCATTTTACCAAGTCTCACAGGTGCTGGTAACTTTACTAATTCTGGCTGATGGAATAAAGGAAATTGTGAAAGCACTCCGCGGAGCTCGAGCGTACTTTATGCGTTTTTGGAACTGGGTAGAAATAGCTTTCTTATCCTTTTCATCAGCTACCATTGCAGTTATGCTTTACAAAGATGGATATGGACGGAGATACGTAGCAAACGTACGCCCCAATCCATTTGGCAATTGGAGCGCGGATCGAATTTTGCTTTGGTCTGAGAGTGAAGAATATCTTCTTGCTTGTGTTGTGTTTATCTTTACGATCAAGACTTTGCGCATTGTTCGTTTTAACCGTCATATCGACCAAATGCGAATGACTCTTCAAGTTTCTTTTCTTCCGCTATATTCGTTTTCAATTGTATTCATTGTAATTTTGTTGGCCTTCTCTTCATTTGGCTATTGGATCTTTGGCTCCTCTCTAATGGAATATTCTTCACTTATACGAGCCGTTGGCTCATTACTTCAAATATTGATAGGCGGAAAGTCTTCCTATTACCAACTAAAGGACACCTCGGAAAATATTTTGGGTCCTTTATTCCTCTTTTTGTACCTGTTAACCTCATTGGCCATTCTACTTAACGTATTCATCTCCATTTTGAATGAGTCTTTTACGACATCAAGGGAAAACATAGGTTTGAATGGTGATGACGTTGATTATAGTGAACTGTGTCAGTACCTTTGGCTTAGTGCAACGTCTTTTTTATGCCGTATAAATACACTGATGAATTCCGCAACGGATGGAATTAAAGATAAAACGAATACGGAGGTTTGCATTATAAATGTGACCAACAGAAACGCCCCAAAGACAGCGGGCATTGCTACACAACTGGCCACCATGGGTAGCATAGACGAGATTCGTTACCCTAGTGTCTCTCTTGAGCGTGCTGACGAAATGATATCGGAGGTTTTAGTAAATTTACCAATGCTATTCGAGGATTCTGATGAAAGTAACGTGGATTACTCAGATATAGACCAAGAACTAGAAGGAAGTCATTTTCCTTCAGAGCTTGAGTTTGAGAGTTATTCTGAAACTTCTTTTTCACCCACATCCTTGAATTTTCATGAAAATTTTTACAGATTCGATCACTTATCATTGGATATTTCTGAAAGCAATGTATAACTATCATAATGTCGATAGTAGTGGATAAGACACCGGTTACGCCGAATTTTTGCGGGGGAATTTCATTAACTTGCGGGGGAATACATTAACGCCGATGACGTCATGCATGTCATATAGATAGGATGATGTCACAGTTTATTTGTAGCTGGCAAGGAGCAAGTGACGTCAGAATTTCCTAGAGTTGACGTCATCAAAAAATGTTGAGATCATAATCTATAAACAGAAAAGCGATTTTTATATAATTAGCTATTTGCAGTCTTCTGATTACTTGTTTGCTATAGTCTTCTGATTGGATATTGTAGAAACTGTCATGCGTTCAAAATAAAAGCGGGCAAATTTTGAACGTGTTATCTTTCCAGATTATACTAAATGAAAAATCGTTAATCATTAAATTATTTTCACTAAAAATCGGTTATAAACAAAACCAAGACACGGAGGTTAACTGAAAAATCTTTACTTCAAAAGAAGGGAAAAGGAGGTTAAGCGAATGCAAAATCGTACAAATTTTTTCAGGCAAAACATGAAAACGAGGTCGAAGCTCAGCGAAGCGAAAAACTGCCTATCAAGCAAGAACGTCAATCTTTGTTTACTTGACTCTGTAGAAAGTATTGCACAGGGTATGAAAATTCTATAGAAAACAACAGGTGGTTCTAAAGTAAACCCTAGCTCTTTTGGTTTTTAAATAAACCCCATTCTTATTCCTAATGAGTGGAACGTCTAGTCAAAAAAAATAGGAATAAGAGGTGCAATCGCCTAGCAACACATGTCTTCTCATTTAGCGCTAAAAATCGGGTATACAAACAAAACACTTACACACACAAATACACAAAGTGGAACTGAAAACTCGCTATTTTAATTTTGACTCACCATTACAAAAGCGTTTTCTTCGTTCTATCTCGAGGAAACGACTAACTATCGAAGTCTCAGCGCTTGATGCGCTTATGGTCTTGTCAATTCAAGCGCCGTTAGTCAGTTAAGTATGCGGGTTAACAAGCCCAAACTTGAATACAAATTAGTTCATCTCTACAGCCAGACCCAAGGGAGCGCCTTGACTTATTATTGTAAAAACACAAACAATTAATAACTTAACAAGGATCAATTTAAACACGCGACAAACAAATTGACAAGACACGAGATACAGTTTTAAAAACTTTATGAAAAACCAGTGACAAAAAGAGTCGAACACACAGCGATTTGGAAGGGGTGGAAATTAATCATCTTCTTCGCCCATGGAGTACTTGTAAGGTCTAACTCGAAATTTCTTTTGCCGAGTTCGTTTCCTCTGTTTGCCAGGAGCATTATGATCATCCAAATAATTTACAAATTGAATCCGACGCCTTTTGCGCTTTGGGCCTTGTGATGGGGTTTCTACTGTGGGAGGAGGTTAGTGGTGGGGTGGAGCTTTCGTTTTCAGGTTTTTGTAAGATAGCCGCTTGTGTTAATTTAGGTGTTACGTTGAAGGGGTTAATGGGAGTGGAGAATGCTGCCGTTGCTGTCGAAGAATCTTGTGTGCTTGATGTTAAGTCTGGAACAGTGTTTTCTTCCTGTCGTGTTCTTGTATTTAATTGTCCTTTAAAGGCCAGGTATCTGTTTTGCAAATGAAAGTATCTCTTAGCTTTTTCATCGTCCCGAAGATCGTTTCGAGAAAGCAAGTCATCCATGTTGCCCTGTATTTCTTGCATAGCTGGAAGAAGTGGGACAGGCGAAAGATTTTGCTGCTTTAGATATTTTAAAAGCTCTTGAGGAATATTTTCTTGAAACCCTGCTTGGTTAAAACCTTCTTCACTGGGCAGGACGTTTGTTCGCAGTCGACAATTATCTTCGGTAGTAGTTTTCAGATCAATCAGCAGATAACCAAAAGGTCTTTTTACAGCCTCCTCGTACTGATTTAAAAAGAAATCAGTTTGCCCGGGATACATTTGCTTGGCAGGAATAAAGATTTGCAATTTGTCTCGTGGGTTATTGAATAACACCAAATAATGGCTGTTTAGGCTTATGCTGCGGCTACCTTTCCCCTGGTGAAATAGATTCTGCCAAGAGCCATAATAGGACAGAGAGGGACACTCAGGGCGTTGGCCGGGATATCTTAATCCCAAAAAAGTTATTTTTAGAACTATGCGGACCATGCGAAAACAGTTTCCGGTAAACTGATTGACTTCCGGAAGACTCGCTTTCACGATTTCTGGGCGCCAAAGCGAGGCGGCGTCAACAAATAAGAAAATGGCGGCACAAGTGGAGGGACGATGTGGAGTTGATAAATTGGCCTTCTTCAACAAAAAACCTACCATAGAAACTGCTTTAAACTTCTACACAAAAGGGTCCTTTACAAGCAACGGTAGAAATCCGTTAAAGCGACCGCGTGACCATCGTTTTTGTTTGAACAGCTGGAATGAGGACAAGTAGCATTGCGGCCCGGATAAGTCTTGAAGACAAAATACGCGGGTCCTACAAAGACGACCGTACAAGCAACCATGTGGAGAGGAAGGAAAAGAACGTATACAGGTTTCCAGTATTTTTGTCACGGACATGACCGGGAATCTTGTGGAACACACCTTTTCCTGCTTGACTGATATTTTGTTCCGCACTTCACATATGGACAATTAGCAATTCTTTATTGAACACGAGGTTAATAGAAGCGGAGGTTAATGTTCCTAAATCAGTAGCAATCGGTAAACAATAGGTTTAATCTTTACAGAATTTTCAAATATTGCAAATCAAATCGGAAACAATAGCATAATGGGTTATATGGAATCGCCAGAAGTTTAAATTGTACTTTCAATCCTAAGAAGGAAAGTAGAGCTTTGTTTTCATCTGTCGACTCGCCAACTTAGAGGAAAAAAGTTTTTTGTGCAGCTAATTTGTGCTGTTCTTTGTAAGTGCAGACAATGGTGGCCCGGTTGCTTGAGGTAAGGAGCCGTTTCTCTGTAGTTTTCTCTGTCCTGTTGAATTGAAATGTCGAGCTTTCGTTAAGATTTGCTTTCATTTTTTTTCTCACAAGTCAGTTGAATTTGATTTCAGGGGAAAATTTGTCTTTAAAGGAAATGTTGAGTTCACACACCCCTTCTACTCGATTAAACTGTAATTGTCAACATTCCATCGAGCAAAAAATATTGAAACTTTGAAGTCTTTTCATACCTTCAAAAGAGTGGACCCTAGGATTTTGCCGAATTCTGAAAGGTTCTTACTCTAACAAATTGGCAAAATAACGAGCTTACGAGTTATTTACTCGCGAGGCTAAAACACTACAAAGATCGCTGAGTTGTATCCTGAAACCGATTTTTGCTTGTAAAAACTTTATTTGTGTAAGGTTATTTGTGTTTTTCATGTTGCAAACGGTGTTGAAATAAATACGACAGTATGATAATCTCATCTGGCGTTTATTTACTTTATGTGGTTTTACCTAGCCTCATATTTTCCTCATACACCTGTAACAATTAACCTTTACAGATCCTGCACTACAATGTATAGGTACGATTTCCACACAACCCAAACATTTGTTATGTGTGTTAAATAATATAAGCTTGCTGCATGCATAATAAATGTAGGGGTTTGGATGCACAGGAGCTTTTGATGTTGTGTTTGCCACTTATTGATCCAGCAAGTTTTGCCTACTTTAGTAAGCACTCATGGTGTTAGGTGTCGGCTGCTGAATGTAGTCTTTTATTTTTTTCTCTATAGAAAGCACTTGAAAGTGTTAAGAATATAAACTAGTACAATAAGTTCAAGCTGTGTATAGCTTCTTGTTTATAATTATGTCTTATTTCTTGTACCTCCCCTCCTCAGTGTGTAGCCGTTTTTCTTTACACCATTATGTCATATTACCATTTATGGAAAGCGTAGGTCACGGGTTGTCAGAGATTAAACAGAGCTCTAGTTGTTGTTGAGATCGAGTTGGTGTGGTATGTTTTCGCCTATTTTCTAACCGCTACAAGTGAAAGCCTAATTAACTCATTTTCTGCATTGAATGGTGTGCAGACCCCATATTAAACAGACACCCTGTATTCAGCCGTCGAATAACTCAAAATGTGGCAAAACGTTTCTTTCCAAAATGTAAGAAAAACAAATCTGTACTTAATGGATATCTCTAATAAACAGAAAGCAGCAAAGTTTTTTTGTTGATGCCCGCCCAATTCTAATTACACAGGTTTTTTTTTTTATTTATAACAACCTTTAATGCATAAAAATAGATGGTAAAAAGAAGGATGAGTGAGGGTGTAAAGAGAGAAGAACTGAGTCCTTATGCCAGGCTGGCTCCCTCCCTGAGGATATAATATAAAATACAACATGTAAAGGTTTCATAAAATTGGTACATCATTTATGTTGTGTGGTTGTGTGTCTCTTAGACTGTGAGCAGTCTCTCTTCAGCTTGAAAATCTGTAAGTGAGATTATTTGTGAGGGCGCAAATTCGAATACGCTGCTCAAATACTCTTGCTTACAGATTTTCAAGCAAAAGAGAGACTGCCCGCAGTCTATATGTCTTTCAGTGTCTGCAAACTTTTCTGTTGTTTTCTGACAGGTTGAATTGAAGGAACAATACTACTAGCAATCATGAATTCTCTTTTAAGATGTCTGCATGACCTTGCCACGGAATTGATAGTGGGGAAAATAATGTACCAGTCTGACAAACAGTGCAAGTTCTATATTTTGGGGAAAGGGAGCACTTATTTATTTATTATTTTTTATACTTTTGTTAAACTATGTGGCTGCCAATGCCTTTGGGATTTGAAATTTGAGGAATACTGGAAAGAGTGTGACCAACAGAGTGACACACATGTTATCATACACACTACATTAATATTAATTTGTCTCCTTCTAGATGCTTTCCTTGACATTGCCTCTTTCAAGCCATGGCACAAATAGATACACTGATTCAGTCACACACTATGTTTTATTGCTCCAGAATGTCTCTCTCAATGCAACCCATGCAGGTGCATAAATTGATGAACTCACCAATGAAAGAAACTTGACCTAATTAAGAGGTCAAGATGTGACCAAAGGAAGTTCTTATCTGATTTTTATTTTAGTGTGATACTGCTATTTTTAACTTAAAGCTTTCCTCAATGAAGGTCATATGCTCAAATACAGATCAGCTTAACTGATAATAACAGCCTCAATTTCCTGTGATGTCTTAGTGGTTGCATGAGGCCTGATCAATCATAATATGCAGATCAACATGTGAGTTTATTAGATTATTTAAAGGGAACGATTGGGGTGTCATGGTGCAGGATGCCTTAAAAGCAAAAGATTACACAAACTTTCTCTGCCTGCAGACTCGGCTTTAAGAGCATTAGAATGCAACATTAATATCAATAAAGTCAACGTTTAAACATGTTGAAATGCCAAAAGGTGCTCACTTTACTATTGTCTCTACTATACTTCTGATTCGTTTAGGCAGCAAAATCAAGAAAACTTTGCACCGCAGCATGTATATGAATCCTTATAACAAATTCTTATGAGTCTGATTAAAACAGGCATGCCAGGAATAAAAAAATTAATGTAAAGTTTTCTTCAGTTGGCTATTGTTTGCAGCTCTTATGATTGGTTGAAACCTTTTAACACAAAGAAAATACCCCTTAAAATGGGTATGGATACATTTATTTTCTAAAACATTTTTTTGTTTTTCTGAAAATATGGTTAGAAACTTTTCAAACATACTGAGCTATTCATCTGCTTAACATAGGATGTAACTTTTAATATGGGGTCTGCTTAAATAAACAGGTTTTGCCATTCACTATAGAAAATGAGTAATTAGGTTTGTTATTTTTTTCTGTGTGGGAGGGGAGTATAAAAAATAAGACACAACTCAGTAAGAAGCTATACACAGCTTGAACTTATTGCAATAGTTTTTATTCTTAATACTTTTGAGCACCTTCTATAACGAAAAAAAGAAAAGACTAGATTCAGCAGCCGACGCCTAAAACCATGAGTGCTTAATTACTAAAATAGAGAAAACTTGCTGGGTCAATAAGTGGCAACACAACATCAAAAGGTCCTATGCATCCATCAATGCCTGAAGCTTGAATTATGCTGTGGTACGATTTGCATTCAAACCCCTACATTTATTATACATGCAGCAAGCTTATATTATTTAACACACTTAACAAATGTTTGGGGTTGTTCTTACCTACACATTGTGGTGCAGGATCTGTAAAGGTTAATTATTACAGGTGTATGAGGAAAATATGAGGCTTGGTAAAACCACATAGAGTAAATAATAAACTCCAGATGAGATTATCATACTGTCGTATTTATTTCAACACCGTTTGCAACATGAAAAAACAAAAATAACCTTACACAAATAAAGCTTTTACAAGCAAAAATCGTTTGCAGGATACAAACTCGGTGATCTTTGTAGTGTTTTAGCCTGGCGAGTAAATAATGCGTTAGCTCGGTGTTTTGCCAATCTTTTTAGAGCAAGAACCTTTCAGAATTCGGCAAAATCCTAGGGTCCATTTTTTTGAAGGTAAGAAAAGACTTCAAAGCATTCAAAAGAGCATTTTCCGATTAACTTTACTGAGCAATATTTTTCGCTCGCTGGAATGTTGACAATTACAGTTTAAAAATGGAAGAGGTGGTTTTGTAAACTCAACATTTCCTTCAAAGGTGAATTTTCCCCAGAAATCAAATTCAACTTATGACCAAAAAAAATAAAAGCAAATCTTTACGAAATCTCGAGATTTCAATGTCAAGAAAACTACAGAGAAACGGCTCCTTACCTCGAGCAACCGGGCCACAATTGTCTGCACTTATTAAAGAACAACACAAGCTGCACAAAATTAAACCTTTTTCCCTAACTTGGCGAGTCGACAGATGAAAACAAAGCTCTTCTTTTCTTCACAGGCTTGGAAGCAGAATTTAAAGTTCTGGCGATTCCATATAATCCATTAGGCCATTGTTTGCGAAAAGGATTTTTTTAACTGCGATTTGATTTGCAATGTTTGAAAATTCTGTAAAGATCAAACTTTTGCACATACGATTTTCGCCCATGAGTTCATCAGTCAAAACCGTCAATCAAATTGAACTTAAATGGTCTCCTTACTGATTTTCAATCTTGGTGAATAGTGGCTTTAGGAATATTAACCTCGCCGCGAATATTCCGTTTCTATTCACCTCGTGTTCTAGAATATTAAAGTGCTTAATTGTTAATAGTCCAATGTGAAGCACGGTACAAAATATCAGTCGAAGCAGGAAAAGGTACTTTCCACATGATTCCGGGTCATGTCCTTGAGAAAAATACTAGAAACCTTTATACGTTTTTTCCTTCCTTTTTCAACAGAAAATACGTCCACACGGTCGCTTGTACGGTCGTCTTTGTAGGACCCGCATTTTGTGTTCAACGCTTAACGCTTATCCGGGCCGCATTGCTACTTGTCGTCTTTCCAGCTGTTCCAACAAAAACGATGGTCCACGCGGTCGCTTTAACTGTATTTCTACCGTTTCTTGCAAAGGATCCGTTTTTGTAGAAGTTTAACCAATTTCTATGGTAGGTTCTTCGTTGAAGAAGGACAATTTATCAAGTACACACCCGCCACACCGTCACTTAGGCAGCCATTTTTTTCAGTTATTGACACCGCCTCGCTTTGGCGCGCTGAATATTCCGGAAGTCAACCAGTTTACCGGAAACTGTTTCTGCATGGTCCGCATAGTTCTAAAAATAACTTTTTTGGGATTAAGATATCCCAAAGGCGTGACTGGGAGTGTCCCTCTCTGTCCTATTATGGCTCTTGATTCTGCACGATATAAATCACGCTTAGATTGCGATGATGAGAACCACGAGTAAAGAGGTTCGCAATTCGCTTGTCTTTACAACATCAAACATCAAACACGATCAAATTCCGTTTGTTCACATCAAAATAGGAATCCTGCTCCAAAGCCGTGGGAATTCCCTTGAAAAATTCAATGTGTGGCATGGCGACTAGCATTTCTGGATACGCAGGCTGCCATTGTGAATAACACCAACCAATCCTCTCCGGGGAAGGGTAAATTGTCTCTGAAGCTTGCTGCAATAGAGATCGAACCCAGGCCGTTTTTCCTGAGCCGGTCATTCCGGCAGTCATGGAGGTAAAACGATGCTCGAATCGAAACCGCTGACATTTCTGTGAAAACGGAACTGTTTGAAATGGTGTGAGACCAACATTGTGGTGTTTAGACATCACGTGCCTTTGCATGCTATCCTTTCTACTAAATGATTTTTCGCAAACGGAACAGAACCAACTCATGTCAGCTCCTCAGGAGCAGAATGTAGACTGAGAAAATGCTAGCGTAATGTGCATTGATATAGTTTTGAAGGCTATAAAATTCAATAGTTTTCCTCCACCACCGCCACCACCACATTTCTATTGTTTTCCCTCCACCACCCCCGCCACCACATTTCTATTGTTTTCCCTCCACCACCGCCACCACATTTCTATTGTTTTCCCTCCAGCACCACCACCGCCACCACGTTTCCATTGTTTTTCTCCACGACAGTCGATAAAAGACTGCAAACGAAAATCATAAGTTCGGTTTGTCGCAATGTCTCAAGTTGTCAAGAACAATCGTGGTTTTCTTAGCTGTTTGTCCAGCTCATCAGCGACAGCTTCTTTTACGGACAGCCAGTCCACAACAACTACATGCATTAGTCCAAGTCTTATACAATATACTTAAGGAATACATTCTTATCCCCGAAGAAAATAAGCCGAACGCGTTGCCATATAAGGATGCTCTAGTAAACCTAGCAGAAACAAATGTCCCTTACAAAACAAAGAAGCGAATCCTTGTACAACAGGGTGATGGTTTTAATCAAGACCTATTGGTACCTGCTGTTACAAGTCTAGGATTTTTGATGCTATAAAAGAGGAAACGAAACTATAAGTTACTCATTTGAAGCTACGGTCTGTCACGGGTACCCATCAAAATGAAGAGAAAGATAGATTTGGTTGAAGAAGAACACGAGAGTGAATATGAAGAAAGCGAAAGTTCTGGTGATGAAAGCAAGGATGAAGAACCAAGAATAAAAGATGATTTGAGGCATCTTTCCCAAGCGGTTTCGGTAAAGCGTGATTCTGAATTGCTGCATAGTACGGCCGCTTCCAAAGATCTTTTATTCTGGACTCCCCGCGGACAAATACTTCGAAACAAACGTATAATTCCCGTCACAAACATCGCCGAGCTACTTGAGTATGTGTTACTACCTCATAACGATGACGTAACCAAACCTCGTGGGCTGAATACTTTCCTAGATGGACTTGCAGAGTTAGGAATCGATAAAGGTTTAATCAAGAACAAAAGGTTGTTAAGTGATTTAATAGAAAAGGAAAAAGGCTACCAAAATGTGAAAAATACTTCCGATAACGAGAGTAATAATGAGGAGAGTTCATCGGATATTGAAAATCAGGAAGAGGAGGAGGAAGTGGTTTCTGAGAATGGCGTTGAAGCTGAAGGCAACCAAGACAGCGACAACGACACTGAAAACGACAGTCAGGAAACAGAAAGTAGTAGCCCTGAGACGTCCACAATCTTTCACTCTAAAAGTCCATGTGAACATTGCGAAAACTCTAATTTGTACTCGACATTGATCATGAAATGTCCTAAACGCTTTTGGCACGATAACTACTCGATTTGTCCTATATGCAATCACCAGATCCCCGAGGAGAGAAATTACATCAAAGAGGGCTTTCTTCGGTGTCACGATTGTGGAGCAATTACACACAAAAACGCCAAGACGTTGGAAAACAATTTTTATTCCCCTTCTAAACAGGAGAACGAAGAAGAGGATTAACTTCCGTCCCTTTCAAATCGATGTTTATTTGACTCTTTTTGTCACTGGTTTTCAATAAAGTTTTTAAAACTGTATCTCGTGTCTTGTCAATTTATTTGTCGCGTGCTTAAATTGATCCTTGTTAAGTTATTAATTGTTTAGGTTTTTACAATAATAAGTCAAAGTGCTCCCTTCGGTCTAGCTGTAGAGATGAACTAATTTATATTCAAGTTTGGGCTTGCTAACCCGCATAATTAAGTGACTAACAGCGCGTGAATTGACAAGACCATTAGCGGATCAAGCGCTGAGACTTCAATAGTTAGTCGTTTCCTCGAGATAGAACGGAGAAAACGCTTTTGTAATGGTGAGTAAAAATTAAAATAGCGAGTTTTCAGCTCCACTTTGTGTATTTGTGTGTGTATGTGTTTTGTTTATATACCCGATTTTTAGCGCTAAATGAGAAGACATGTGTTGCTAGGCGATTGCACCTCTTATTCCTATTTTTTTTTTTTACTAGACGTTCCACTCATTAGTTACTAGAATGGAGTTTATTCAAGACCCAAAAGAGCTAGGGTTTACTTTAGAACCACCTGTTGTTTTCTATAGAATTTTCATATCCTGTGCAATACTTTCTACAGAGTCAAGTAAACAAAGATTGACATTTTTGCTTGATAGGCTGAGCTTCGACCTCGTTTTCATGTTTTGCCTGAAAAAAATTGTACGATTTTGCATTCGCTTAACCTCCTTTTCCCTTCTTTTGAAGTAAAGATTTTTCAGTTAACCTCCGTGTCTTGGTTTTGTTTATAACCGATTTTTAGTGAAAATAATTTAATGATTAACGATTTTTCATTTAGTATAATCTGCAAAGATAACACGTTCAAAATTTGCCCGCTTTTATTTTGAACACATGACAGTTTCTACAATATCCAATCAGAAGACTATAGCAAACAATATCTAATCAGAAGACTGTAGCAAATAGCTAGTTATATAAAAATCGCTTTTCTGTTTATAGATTATGATCTCAACATTTTTTGATGACGTCAACGCTAGGAAATTCTGACATTACCTGCTCCTTGCCGGCTACAAATAAACTGTGGCATCATCCTATCTATACGACATGCATGACGTCATCGGCGTTAATGTATTCCCCGGCAAGTTAATGAAACTCCCCCGCAAAAAACCGGCGTAACCGGTGCCTTATCCACTACTGTCGATAGTTTTAAATTGTTGGCAAGTGTTTTCAGGGACTAGGCGAGAGATCACCCCCATAATAGATAATTCCATAAACACTGTAATTCTTATTCCGGGAGAATACTAAAGAAATATTTCACGTATGAATTTGCGCAGCTGAATATGGGATGGATTACTCTTGCATACACCAAGTTCTATGGCACTGCTAGTCAACGAGCCAATTGGCTGCACTTATTAACCAGCAACTGCAGAATAAAATTCTGTTTTCAGTTCATTGATCAAAAAGCGGAGGAGAGCGATGGCAAAAACGTTTAATTAATACAGACATACAAACGTAGCGGCATTGGGTGAAATCCCATCAACATGACCATCATATTTTTTTTTACAATCACCATCACTAATAGCGCCATTACCATCATCACCAACGCCATAGCCTTGAGGGGATAGAAAAGCGTTTTGCTATTGGTACCGTCACTTTGCCGCCACCCGGTTAGGTCAGATGAACAAGTGCAAGGCTGCTGAGCCTGAGATCGTGACTTCAAACCCTTTGCCAGACCACTAAGCAAGCTCTCTGTAAAACCGGATAAGGTTTTGCTGGCAGCGTACCCTTTCGATGATCGCGTCTTTGTTGGGTTTGACGTTAAGCAGTTGGACTTAATCGCTACACATCAGTTAAAAGGGGCAGTAAAAGAATCCGTGACATTGTAACGGTCAATCTGAATTGTGTCGTTATTGGTTTGGGTGGGCGAGTTGAGATCGAACATGCATTTAGGCTGCTGCAAAGTGTGCCTTTACTGCCGACGTCCGGTCCCACTTTTAAGCACTGACTGTAACAGAGGGAAAACTGCTACTGTTTCGCAACTGTTCATCTAGAAGGTGGTAATTTCTCATGCCTGAAATTCACCAAAACGGATACGTTGGGTCGAATACCATTGGACAGAATTCTTCTTAACCTAGTAGAATTGGAATTTGGAATGTTGGTTTTTTTCTCAAAGAGGGAAAACCGGAGTATTCGGAGAAAAACCTCGGAGCAAGGGAGTGAATCAACAACAAACTCAACCGACACAGAATATGGCGTCGACGCTGGGATTTGAACCTTGGCCACACTGGTCAGAGGCGACTGACTCGCTACTACGCCACCCTATGTTGTCATAGCTGGCGAATTAAGTGGTTTGTGTAGAATACGTTTCCTTGTTCTGCAGATACTCTAGGAAACTTCTACTTAACACAGTCGTAATTTGATTAGTTTTTGTCGTAAATTTGACATGTTGTAAGCATCACTTAATTAGTGGTACAGACGCGCCACTCACTATACGCCACACACCACGCCTAGTAATTTATTGTTCTGTTTTCCCTTTATCTTTTATTTTAACCGTTACTTATGGCAGTTGCAAGAGGCATCCAAGAGGCATGTGACTCTGAGTAGCAATAAATGTTCCAGTTTTAATCCAGTTCTATCTGTGTACTTGTAGCTGTTGTAGTAAGTGAGCGGTAAAAGGTTGCAAATGCTCAGTTTTACGCAAAACACTAAGTATTTGATTCACTTCAGAACTTTATAAGTTGCATACTCTACATGATCCCACCGTGGATAGTCTTCGACATTGCCGTCTACAACCGTAGCCAGGATATATTTTCTTGCTAATTTTCACAGCAATGATTGCATTCTCTTTATTTCTTCTTCTTCATTTATTCGGTATCCCCATTCTTGGCAAATGAATCATAAGGATAATTTTCTGTCATCCCCTTCGCCGTATTTTACGTTTTTTCTTCAGCAGAATTGCCATTAAAGTATCGCATCACGAAAGCCCACTACTGTGTGAGCCTAAGTTGAAGTGTTAACTTTTCTCTCAGTTGTATGCTTACTGTATCTTGTACCGGATTAGCTACAGTACTTATTTACAATATAAATATCGTAAAAGCTTTCTAGATGCAAGTGATAGAAGACCACGCTTATTCTCCTCCGACTGTTTGACGCCTGCATTTTAGTAACCTGATACCACCTCAACCATGTTCACTGTCAACATGCACAACCATCACCTGCACTTCTAGCTACTCCACCATAAATAGTATCACCACCTCCTCCACCAGTGTAATTTTAATTTAGCATTATATATTTTCCTGATGTCTTGAATACGACTGTCAAGAAACTCCCCGCAGATTTTTTAAGGGGTACACCACGCGTTCCTTCCTCAAGCTACACATCCGTTAAAATTACCTATTACAATACGTTTTAACCTTCTGTAAAATAGGACTTTAACCCAGAATTTCAAAGAATAAAATAATGCTGATCTCGTTTTTGAAAAAGTACTTCTAGATCTGGCTACTTTGGAGGAAGTTAGGGGAGAAAAAAAATTTCTTAAACAATTGAATGGGATGAGGTTCTACAAAACCTTACAATGTTGTTGTTTGTTTTTGTTTTATGTTCTTTTTCCTTCTGTTGGTTTGTTTTTAAGCAAACACAGACGGAAGTTACTGCTCCCTTCAATAGTTGCTGTTATATTAAGGGAAGGAACGCGTGACGATACCCTGAGTGTGGGGATTCCATAGCGCATGGAGAAAATTACATTTACACTATCGACAATAAGAAGATGTAAAAAAGGACATGTGCGTGCACTGAATGACTCATCAATTCCTTCTGTATGCTCTTCAATATTTGATATTAATTTTTAAAACGTGGTGCGCACCATCACGAAATTTTGTCATATAAGGTTTATTTAACTTCAACTATTAGTGAAGTTTTCCCACTCGGACCAATAATTATCAAAGAAGTCGATATTCTTTTCATCTGGGGAAATGTATTGACAGAATGTAGACATAATTAATCCTTTAAAAGACCGTGATGGTGACAGTTGGCAGATGTCTGTGTGTAACGCGGTTGCTTAAATTGACCGACGTTAACTCGTCTTCTCCCTCTCCAAATCTCTATATCGTTCTTTATTGACTAGTTAAGTAGTCGTACGGGTCCTAGTTACGATCGATATGAACAATTCTCAATCTTTCCCTTTCTCTTTAGTTTTGAACATATTTTGAATCTCAAATTGCATTTATTTGCCGTAATCCTTAGGTTCTTTTTTTAATATTTAACTTTTTAATACGAGCTTTATTGTTCTTAGATTCGGGGTTCATTTGGAAAATACTTAACTCGTTCTTACACACGTCAATGATCATTGTCATCCGTGTGTTTCCAGAGAAATTTTACAATCTATTTTAAATTAATGCTACTTGTTTTTAATCATTAGCATACATCTTGAAACCTTATTGAAGCGTCTTTTTGATGTTTTTGAGAAAGCTTGAAGATGTTATCTTCATTGTTTTAGAACAGCACTGCAATAACAGTGACAGGTGCCTTAAATCGATGGGTTAGAATGATGTATAAATCTTCTTTAGACTTGTACTTTTAACTAAGGACCGCGCATAGATATAACGCTAGTTTAAAACCATTTTGAAGAAAACATTGTTTGGAGAAATTAAGGGGAAAAGATTAATACATAACCGTTTCGATGGAGAAGATGAATCTAAATACAATTCCAGGTGTTTCTCTTTGCGCCGCACGTTCCACAATTTGGTGCTTTAATTAGTGTTCCTGTTTTAATTTAAGGAAGTTGTAAATAGCGGTCATTGCTTTAATTTCGTCCAAAGCACTACTTCTGACCCGTTTTCTTTTCTTTTTTTAAATGAGTGCAACAGACGACCCAAAATGTTTACAAGATTGAAATTGTGTGTCGTTAACTCTAGATGTGAATTTTATTAATCATTATACAACAGATATATAGCAATACTGAAAGATTAAGCTAACAATATATAAACGTAATGATTTGCATATAGACTGTTATTATCTTATTTTAATTCAGTGCTGTGGAAGATGGAGGGGCGAGAAATATTAGCTGCAGTTTTTACTCTCGTAGTAATGTTTTCTCTTGTGCAATTGACGAAAGGAAAGTCTTGTAAGTACATTACTAGTACTGCTTATCAATTTTCAGTTCTTCAGCATTATTTTTAGAATGAACAGGAAAACAAGAATCAATGGAATTTTTTGAATTGAATTCAACATTAAAATGGACTATAGAATATTTATCGTTGATGGTTTCAAGGGCAAAAAATATAAGAAGGTTCGAAAATTCCGTTGAGAAAAAAAAGGTATCGATAAAGTTCAAAAAATCAACCAATGCTAAATTCAAATATTTCAGCGGAATAAAATGATGCTTTATAGAGAATTCATATTTTACACGTTACCATAGTTTCTTTTTTTTTGTCTCCTTTATTAATTATCTTGCTGGTCGTGTAGCTGTACTGCGTTGCAGTCTGATGATGTCGTTTTGCAAGAAGGAAACTTATGACATTATAAGCTTTGTCGCCAAGTAAATTGAAAGAGTCGGGCATTTTACTCTTTTTGAAGATTACTCTCTGTCTGAACCATTGCCAAATTTAAGTGATATATGTATGCTTAATAGTTCTCCGTGCGTAATAAAGACGCGAATAATTTGAATGCATTTACGAGACAGTTAAAGTAGAGCGACTTGTACGGGGTAAAATTTTAACATACAAACTCTGATGGGCTTTGACTCTACTCGGTTTTGGTTTGAGCCCAAAGAAAGAAAATTCGATAGTACTCTTCATTTGCATATTTTAGGATCTACAAACGCTTCAAAGCCTGCAGTCTCCATTCAGTGGGGACTCAGACGAAAGGCACTCACCCTTGAAAAGTAGAGTTTATGAGACAACCCTGCCCTTTAACTGAGTGTTTCAGGACATCTTTGGAAAACTTTCAAAACCAGCAAAAAAAGGCGCCGTATATTTCTAAAAAAATTGCTGAGGATTCCTTCCTTTCTGAAGCCCTGGCCAACTCGAGGAAAATTAATTAATCATTGTTTCACGGCCCCACCTTCAGCATTGTTGTGGTAAATTAAGGAAAATTAAAAACCATCAAAAACTTGTGTCAACTTAGTTGAAATATTTCATTTGCTTCCAAAATTTCGTACCATACCGATGGTCAAAGAAACATCATAAAGATACCAAAAGAAATTTTCTTTGCACTATTGCATTCTTTATTTATTGCCATTTAGCTGCACTTTGCGCCAGTTCACTTGGAATGGAAGATGGTGGTATAACGAACCGTAGTATTGTGGCGTCTACCAGAAGCTTCGGCAACAATCCGGAAAGGTTCGGACCTCAGCAAGCACGACTGAGATGGTCTTTGGGATATCGAGCAGATCCGGTTGAAGTTAAAGAGACTTCATTTCATTTCCTAATGGTCAAATTACCTCAAGAGATGGTTATTACTGGTATTGCCACGCAAGGTTTGGGAAAAGAGTGGGTTACAAAGTATGAACTGTTGTCAAGGCAACATGAGACTAGTTTTGTCCGTTTCAGAGAGGTCAATGGAACAGTAAAGGTAGGACAATGAAAAGCACGTCTTAGGCTAAAAGAGAAATCTCGTTAATAACAGAAAAGTTAAGCGGCGGTGGAGGTTAAAGTGCTAATGGTAGTGGTGGTGGAAGTAGTAAGTGGTAGTGGAATTAGTTGTGGTAGTGGTGGAAGTAGTAGTAGTAGTAGTAGTAGTAGTAGTAGTAGTAGTAGTAGTAGTAGTAGTAGTAGTAGTAGTAGTAGTAGTAGTAGTAGTAGTAGTAGTAGTAGTAGTAGTAGTAGTAGTAGTAGTAGTAGTAGTAGTAGTAGTAGTAGTAGTAAGTAATAATAATAAATTGCTTTATTTGCATGACCGCATTATTTTTTACAGTATTGCCGCATCATTTTACATGTATATGACAATCAAAATATAAAACAAAACAACGCTAATAATAATCTAGAAAAATTCGGTTACATTACTAACAATGAATCACGTATTTTCATGCAGGAGGAAACAAACTTCATAACTAACTTATTTACATGATGTTCCTTCGAATTCATTATCAGTTTTATGCTTTCTGGAGATGATTTCTTGTCAAAGTCAGGTATTATTCGATTGATTTGATTAATAAATGCCTGTCTCTGTACTGAGTATTTGTTACATTGAAAGAGGAAATGAATCTCATCTTCTACCTGATTTGAGTTACATAAAGGACATAATCTATTTTCTCTTGGCAAATGATCGATTTGGTATCGACCATGTTCAATCATAAGTTTGTGATTACTTATTTTGAATTTAACAAAATTCTGTCGTTCGTCATAATGTCTTAGCTGGTAGAGATAATCAGATGTAGAATATTCATCTTTAAAAGTTTTATAAAATTCTAGTTTTTTTGAATTTTCGAGGCTGTGCCGCCAAAAAGATAGATATTTCTCTCTCATTTCTGTGGTATATCGTCTAATTTTATCATTATCTAGAGATTCAGCATCTAAACTGGTTAGATTGTATTGTTCAAGCATGTTTATGAAATTGGAAAAATATCCGGAATTATTCATAGAATGTAGATTCTTTGACATAAGGAAAGACTGTTTGACTATAGAGTCATTATCTTTGTTGTTGAGGTAAACAAAATATTTCATAATTTTCTGATTTATCGGGATAAGCAGCGGCAGTCTATCAAGTTCAGCTCTGCAGGCTAGGCCTTATTGTTAACCTCTAAGTAACGTTTACAGAATTTGAGGTGGATTTTTTCTATTGGGTAGCTATCCCATTTTTTAAAATCTTGCTTGGTATACATTCCCCATACCTCGCTGTTGTAACTCAAGATTGGGAATACCATGGTGTCAAAAATTTGTGATGCAGTATTAGGATTAAGTTTGTTAAGAATTGTCCGCTTCCGAATACTAGAAAACGCGTGAAGGGCCTTTTCTTTTAAGTATTCGAGTGCAAGTGTAAAGTTTCCCGTTGGAGTTAAACGTGTACCTAAATAAGTGTATTCTTGGACAATTTCAATTGACTCACTGCCTATGTTGAATTTGATGTCAATAGATTTTTTTGGGCGTTTCTGGAATATCATAATTTTTGTTTTCTTCGGATTAATTTTTAGCTTCCATTTGTCACAATACAAAGAAAGCGCATTTAAACAGTTCTGTAATCCAGTTTTCGATCTTGATAGAATAACTAAATCATCTGCGTACAAAAGTGAATTTATTTTTCTCCCATTTGGGAGAACAAAAGGGTCAGATAAGGTGTTTTCGAATAAAAGTGGTAGATTGTTTAAATAGAGGTTAAATAAAAGAGGACTTAAAATACAGCCTTGACGTACACCTCTGGAATATGAAAAAGGCTGTGTTTTGTTTTCACCGATTTTGATGGAACATGTCGAGTTGCAATAAAGACTTTTCATGAGGTTGTACAAGTTTCCTCCTATATTCGTTTTTAGCAGCTTATAAAACAATCCTTCGTGCCAAACAGAGTCAAACGCTTTGCGGAAATCTACGAAACAAGCGTAGACTTTTTCCTTGTGATAATGCACATATTTATCTATTAGGGTCCTTAGAGTGAAAACATGGTCTGCAGTGCGGTTTTCAGGCAAAAAGCCAATTTGGGAATTATGTAATATCTTATTTTCCTCAAAATACAAGTGAAGTCTTCGATTTAAAATAGAACAGAACAATTTTCCAAGGCAACTAGAAACACATATGCCTCTGTAATTTGTTGGATCACTCTTGTCACCAGATTTGTAAATTGGGGTTATGAGGCCTTGACACCAAACATCTGGCATTTTTCCGGATTGTAAAATGAGGTTAAAAAGTTTGACATAGACAGGCATTAGTGGTTCGAGGCTTGCTTTGATCATTTCATTTCGTATTTTGTCAACAAATGGTGATTTCTTATTTTTCAATTTCTTCGCCGCTTGACGTATTTCCCTCTCAGTTATCTCATAATCGAGATGGTTAAACTGTTCCTTTTCGTGTTCTAAAGAATTTAGTTCTCTATGGATTTCATGTTCATGCGTGGAATTCGTCGGGTCAATAGAATGCAGAGATTTGAAATGGTGAAGCCATGATTCTTCCGAGATTGGGGCAGGAACATTTTCGTTGAAAGTGTCGCTCATCGAATTTAAACAATTCCAAAATGACGCCTTGTCAGGATTTAAAGCTAGTTCGTCGAGTTGTAATGTTTTTTCTTTATGGAATCCTCTCTTCTTTGTGTCTAGGAGCTTTTTGTAATCATTCAAGGTTTTGTGATATCTTTCCCGCACTTCGGAGTTGAGGGGGTCACGGTGCTTTTCATTTGAGACTTTTCGTAATTCATGCCTTTTCAAGCGACATTCACAGTCGAACCATTTCTTGTTGGATGATTTCTTAATACGCTTATAAGTTTTCTTAGCTTTAATTTTTAGGCATAGCTTGGAGCTCTCAGTTAGAATTTTCATAGCGTTTTCTAAGGAGATATTCACATCTTCGGTGTTTCTCTCCATATATTGTCTAATTTGAATTTGGATTGGTTCCGTGCGCAGTGCGTTTTTGAATTTTAAATGTGAGTCAACTTCCCAGCAAAATTGCCGTGGTAATTTTGATAATCTATTGCTACTATTTAGAGTGTGCATTTCGTCTCCAATTAACCTGGTGTTAAGATTGAGCCATGCCACGATGGCACTATGATCCGATAAATAAGATGGCTGTTTAACTACAAAATTTGCAACGTTGAGAAATGTACACTGATCACATATCAGATAATCAATAACGCTCGTTCCGTTTTTTCCATGAAAAGTGGGTCTGCCTAGGGTATCTCCATTAACTCTGCCATTAACTATTCTTAGGTCAAAGGTTTTACAAATTTCCAACAGCCGTTTCCCATGGCTATTTAAAACATTATCAAAACTGTTTCTTTGAGTTGGCTGGAAAGCAGATTCCGACTGATCATCACTAATTCTACTGTTTCCCTCCTTTGAGACAGTATCAGAGTATTTCCCGGTTCTCGAGTTAAAGTCACCCATGAGAATTATTGATCCTTTCGAAGAAAAACGTACTATGTCTTGTTCTAGCTGATCAAAAATTTCGTTATCGAAGTATTTTGAGTTACAGGGGGGTATATAGACACCACAGACGTAAATATTCTTCACTGAATTTAGAAAACGATTCTCAATTTTAAACCAAATAAAATGCTGAGTTGTTTTAGTGATGGAAATGTTTTTATGGAATTTGTTCTTATAAAATAAAGCGATTCCTCCGGAGTTACGCCCACCTCTCCCCGACTGATTTGGTGTGGGACATTGAAAAAAAGATTTGTATCCCGCAATTTCCAGATTAGAGCAGTTGCCAATTTCTGTTAACAATATAAAATCGGAGTTATTAATAACACTCACAAAATCAGTATTATCTGACTTATTTCCAAGATATTTCGAAGAAAGGCCATTAATATTCCAAGCGCAAAAGGACAATATGCTTGAAATATCGGGACTATCTTCGGTGTCCGTGATTGTATAGAAAATAATAAATGGATTACTCTTTATACTGGTATAAAGTTTATCATTAATACTTAATTCAGTGTCAAGGGTAAGATGAAATTGTTCATACAAATGATTTTATAAAACGAAGAAAGGATATGATTTCCTGAGGCATTGCTGAATCCGTTAATTTGTTGTAGGGGCGAGTTTCTTCACCTGCGGTTTCCATTTTAGCGGCCTGTGGAAACGTTTGATGCGGTGTTTTGGAGTATTGATGCGATATAGTTGGTGGCGGAGCTGGGAGTATCTGGTCCGGCAGGGTTTGCATAGGAAGCTGGAATGCTTTATTTGAGGCATTTGGTTCATGATGTAGTGAATTTTGCAATGGTGTTGGAGGTATTCGTTGTGGAAGTTGTGGTGTGACAAATGGTAACGGCGGAGGTTGAGTTTGAAGAAGGTGAGGCCAACTAGGCACTTGAGGTGGTGTGTTCTTTACGGCATTGCTGTATGATGTGTGATGTAATAGTGGCTTGGGACCTTGGGAAGAAGTCGGTTGAGTTTGTGAGGATCTTTGTCTTTGGGCTGGCATTGTATTAGAAGGAACTGTAGGTTTTGGTCTGGCACGACCGCGAATTGCGTCCTTAAGGTTTTTGGCGAAAAATTTTACGTACCGTTTAAGAATATGTTTCTGATCGTAAAGAATAGTAGTAGTAGTAGTAGTAGTAGTAGTAGTAGTAGTAGTAGTAGTAGTAGTAGTAGTAGTAGTAGTAGTAGTAGTAGTAGTAGTAGTAGTAGTAGTAGTAGTAGTAGTAGTAGTAGTAGTAGTAGTAGTAGTAGTAGTAGTAGTAGTAGTAGTAGTAGTAGTAGTAGTAGTAGGAAAATGACGTTATACTGCAAAGCCAAGGTGTATTCAAAAGCTAACGGTAACGTGACCACTTTTGCTCAAGGATAAAGGAAATGTGGTGGTATTGGCGTAAAACGCATAAGTGTTAGTTGTCGTAAAGGATAAATAAATAGGATAAATATATAGTTTTTATAACACGCTGTTAATTTTTGATATTTCCTTAGAAATTTGAAGGCAATACTGACGGGGACAAAATAAAGTACAACCCAGTTCCGATCCCGAAAAAGGCATCCGAGGTTCTTTTTGTTCCAACAGAATGGCACGGAAACATCGCTTTGCGGTTTGAACTTTATGGCTGTAGCAAAGGTAAGTATAAAGCGATGAGAAACTTGGAAAATTTATTATTTAAATATTCACCGACATATTTGGTGTGTTTGCACAAGTTATGGTGGCCTTGAATACGAGTCACACGGAAAGACTACTGCTCACCAGTATAATAACCCCTACGATTACAAGTCGTCTCTGGCTCTACGATTTTCCCTAGAAATTTGAAGCCATCGAAGCTAAACTTGTCTAGTTTACTACATTTTTCGGCGTCTACATTTTCCAGTAAACAATTTATTGCAAACACTTTAAAAATAGCTCTCCGCCAAAATCTCCTCTAATTTCCCGCAAAACATGTCCTTACGAAGCAAGTTTTTCCATCAGCACTTTTTATTTTAGAATAAACATGGGCACCCCGTCCCCTCTTCTCGTGGCTGGTGGGTTTCGATCCTATACATTGTTGGCATTGGTGTAAGAAATTGTTCCCTCAATGGCACCGATCGACTGCTGTGTTGTCTGATCGTAGGCATCCAGGCTTCTAGAGTCTTGATTCCACTGTCCCTACTTATGTTGTTTAGTTTACATCTCATGTGGAGCGAGGGCCTCAGCTTCTTTTACGTATACCTTACAACAGTGCTAGAGAGCGTCCTAAAGCGCCCGATCTTTCTGGGTTTTTAACGAGGGCTGCGATTTGAGATCAAGTAAGCTGTTCTTTCAGGCATCTTTATTTCGACTACTTTCCATACAACGTACTTACAAAGGAATCTTATAACTACTCCATCTTGTTTTTGGGTAACAATACCTATTATTTGCCTATAATAGACGCTCCTGCGTAAGGTCGGAAAAGACTCCGAGGACTAGGGAGGTCTTTAATGCAGTGCAGAAGGAGTGTGAACATGCTATTAAAGGAACAGTATCCCGTTACTGCGCATGCACCAGACTTTGATTTTTGGACAGGATGTCCCGAAGTCAAAAGAATATGCGAGGAGAGTAAGAGAACCTTGAAAAATCCGTTTGCATCGCGCTTGGCCGAGTTCGAGACAACACTAAAACTTCTCAGGATTACAGATCAATGATATATTGTTCCCGTTGAGTTTCGATTTGGGCGAAATCGGGATTTTTTTTGGCGTTACTTTTATTACCTTTGGCGGGAGGACCAAAAGATGGGAGGCGCTTTTATGCCGATTGAAGGCTTATTTCTTCTGTCTGCTTCCATACAAGCTCAGATAATTGTGAAAGGGATACGCAGAAATGAAACAGCAACAATAGGGACTGTAAGAAAGAAACCATTGAGACTTGGATGTGACTGAGGAGATCTTGTGGAATTAAGCTTCGTGAAGCAGACTGTTTTGAAACGACGCGTTAGTTAACTTTTAATTGAACCTCCTTACGGCCGACAAAATCAAACAAACAGGGGCTACATGTTCAGAAAACCTAGTGCAATGAAATCATAATATACAGTTTTCACTAACCTTTGCGATAATTCATCGCGTTGAGATTGCATTTTTATTCATATCTTTCCAACGTTTAAGGCTAGAACGCGAGCAGTCAGGCAAATATTACTGGACTTGGAACAATTGACCTCTGACACGAGTTTCACATTAGAAAAGCTGTTTTTAAACCGAGCGGAACGAGATTTTCGGGTCGCAACGCGGCACTCCTAGCGACAAAATCGACAAAGTCTTCGTGCCGCGAGCCAAATTTTAAATAAGACGAAAAACTTCTTCGAAAGCCTAAAATATTACTTTAGAATGTAAACAACAAATCTCTGTCGGCGGTGCGATCCGGAAGGAAATTTTGTGGAGTCAATGTGACAGTTCTGTTGTCTTTTAAAGAAAAAACAGATGACGCTCGCGCGTGCCCACATTCGGGACACTGTCCCTTTAAGCGATGGTGGGATGAAATTAAAGGTCTTAGCGGAGTGAGATGTACCAACAACTGGACCCAAGAAATGCTGTGTGACCAGAAACTCTCTATTGATGCACTTGCAGATAGATTTAGCACCTTCCTTGGTAGTCTCACGGCTAACTTCACACTTCTGGTTGCCCATCCTCTTGGGTCATCTTTTACAGTCCCTGAGCTCTTGCTAGTGGATAATTATACTGTGTACAAATCACTGAGACTTGTTAAGCCGAACAAGTCCTTCAGTCCTAACGCTATACGTGGAACTGTGTGGAAGGAGTTCGCTTTTTAACTTTCACCTGTTAGCATGGACATCTACAACGCATCGATGATTCAAGGTTATATGCCCGAACCCCTCAAACAGTCGGATGTTGTGCCGATGCCAAAGTGCTCTCCGCCAAAATCCGTGGAGCAGGATCTACGTCCAATTTCGCTTACGTCGCACCTTGCGAAGATCACGAAGGGCTTTACACTGTCTATACCCTTTTGAATCAAGTTTGCCATAAACTTGATGTTTTAAGGTTTGGACTTGGCGGACCACAACATTCTAGTTCAAGAGTTAAAGCTCCTAGGCGTACACGAAGCTACCATTCGCTGAATCAGCTCCTTCTTGTCAGGTCGAGTGCAGCGAGTGAGACTGGATAGGATTTATTCTAATACAATCTTACCCCGTGTGGGGATCCCACAAGGAAAGAAATAATATAAAAAAGAAGAAAGAAATAAAATATCAATGTTGATGATACGTCATTTTTGCCTGTCATTGCTGCAGATATCAACACATACGCTTCAGAGCGTAACATGAAGCTTAATGAAGAGAAGTGTAATGAAATGGTTATTAGCTTTTTGAAGTACCAGCCAACTGCTGTAAGTCCTATGCAGTTAAATGGCACAGTCATTGAAAGAGTTCCCAACTATAACCTATTAGGGGTGATCATATCGCAAGTTCTCTTCGATGTTTGTAGATGGACGGTAAGAGGTTACATAACTAGTCTGGAATCTGCTCCGCCTGCTTCGGTCATTCTCGTTCTTCATTTTGCAGTGTGGTCATTTGTTTTCTTGAGGGCGAAGCTGGTGCAGCAGGGTGACAATGTATCCCAAATAAGGTCATTGACATTTAATGGTCAACATGGCCCTCAGAAAAGTCTCCGTATTGCCACCAAAGAAATCTTAATGGATGACAGTAAAAGGGGGCGACTCAGACTTGATGAAACATCTGCTCAACATTCGCCAGAAATGCAATGGGTTCTTGTCGGAAACTCAGCAAAACACCAGTGAGGTTTTTCGCCAAGTCAGGTCCCGGAAGCAACAGAAAGTTCAATGATGTAATTCTAGGTCGCGCTGTACAATCAAATACTAACCTGGTCATGGAGCACTGAGATGAAAATCAGTATCCTTGGAGGGCTCCATCAGAACGTCTGGAAACTTTGTTGCATGGTCCCACACGATATAACCATTGAAAATTTCACAACACATTTATCAATGGGTATTTTTGTTAATGGTGCTGTTTTCTAAAACCACTGAACAGGCAGGCCCTGGCTGGTTCATTTTCTAATAATTAATACAAAACTTTATGGTCGTCATAAAATCTTTTCGTTTTTCAAAAGGATTTGTCTCTAATCCTAAAAAAACTTCTCCGAACTGTGAGCTTCTTTGAAAAACTGGCAAACCGTAGATGTGTCTTCGTACGTGGTCACCTGCGTTCGTCTGGGGACCGGTTGATCTTCTGGAGTTTGCTTCCTCCTACTTCCCTGAGTCGCTCAGGCTTCACTATGGGTGAAGGTTAATCTTCAGGTTTTACTCAGGACTTGGTAAGTGGTAGCTTGAGTCCTTCTAGCCTAGTTCCCACCAGCTTGCCATACGCTTTGTAAGCCCGCGTTAGCCAGATTTAGTCAGGACAACTTTTTAGACCCCCATGCGCCGATTTAAGGTCCTTTGGTCACTCCGTCAATAGATGCTCGCACGATGATGTTTCTGTGCAAGGTTCTTACTTAATATCTCTTTCGCATTACGATAACTTTGTTTGCAAGGTAGCATCTCGAAATCGTCTATATCTTCCTAAGCTACCTCTTCACAATATTGAACCAGGGAAGAAAGTCTTTCATCGTCCTCCTCTACGCAGCATTCAACGTTTATTACAAAACTAGTATGAAACTCGGGTACTTCTTTGGGTGACCCCTTTAAAGGATTGAAACTCCCTTTTAGTCGTCTCAAACTTCTCAAAAGAAGTGGTAGACAAACGCACAACTTCTTGGTGCTTCATTGCTTTTCCAAGAACGTGAAAATCATCACGAGCGTCGGCTAACCCTGGGAATAATTTGGGCTCCAAGTATCCTTCTCAGGTCGACGTAGCGGATTTGGAGGTGATATAGGTAGTCCGTCTTCACAGGAATGAAGATATTTGCGAACTGTCTTACACAAAATTTGTTTAGGCAGGGTGGGTACAGGTTGGCTCGCTGATCCACACCGTCCAATCAACAAACTTAATCACTCTCTATACAAGACAAATCAACTCGTGCTTGTTTTAACTCGTCACACGCATTCAATAACTGCTCCCTCGCCCAAATTTTTGCTCCTCCTTAAGCATTCTCACTTTTAACTGAGCCACTGCTAACCTCTTCCTTGACGCTCTACTAGCTCTCGAGCCAACACCTGAAACACGTGGAGACTTGAGTACGCAACCGCATGAGGTGTCGCAAAGAGTTGCCTAAGGTGTCGTCACAGGCCAAACTTCAAGCAGGAGAAGCGATTCACTTCGCACAATTGATCCCTCCAGTATGTTAGCCTTTTCGTTAGCCTCCCACTGATAATTACACCGGATCGATCGACCTCTGAGGAAAACTTCCAACCACCGTCTCGATATCTCGCAAATAAATCGTGTAGGCGTCTAGGCACTCTTTTTGGACATAATTTCTCTCAGAGAGATAAAATTCGAACAGAAGAATCAAAGTTAATTATACATCCTTGTCAGATGTCCCCTGCAGGCACGGATAGGGCCTTGAAGTCGATTAATCTCCTCCGAAAAGGCATCTAACATGGAAAAAAATTTTCCAGCTCGCAAACTTTTAATCGTGTCCTCCAAAGCCATCGCCGACATCGTACGCCGTCGAACACGATTAACATTACAACAGCTTTATTGCCGGAACAA